CTGTACTGGACCGATCTGCTGAAAAGAGGCGGAGCCGCGGGAAGACAACACGGGTTCGGACATCGAGCAAGATGCCACTGAAACCAGGGCTGGGCCGGCCACCAAGGGGCCAACAAGACTATTCTCCCCAAGTTAGTCTCCAAACGAGCCAGGACCCAGAGCAACAACCGAACTGATGGGAAGAGGTTCAAGTAACCTCACCTCAACCAGTCCAGCCGAAAGGTAGCGACCACTGACGGCCTCACAGTCTAGGAAGGGTGCCACATACACTGGAAGACGCCTCGACCATGCCAATCCGAAGAGGTCCACCTCCAGGCGCCCGTACGTCCGGCAGAGCTAACTGAACAAGGTCGGCGTCGACCGTCCATTCCGTGGATAGGGGAATGAACTGAGAAAGGCCGTCTGCCAGGATGTTTGACACCCTCTGAATTGAACCACCAGGGGAAGCCAAACCCCGAGAACTCGGCAGACGAGTCACTCGAAGTGACCAGCTCCAAAGAGCCAAAGACCACATTGAACCCCCATGGTTCAGACTATGAACCACAGGGGGAGCAGTCTGAATGGAGCCGGATCATTGTTCTGCGAGCAACACGAACCCTCTGAAGCGAATGCCACAATACCGCAAAATCCTGCGATGTGCTGTGAGCCTGACAATAGGACGGACCAGACCGACCCTGACCGGCCTGGTGAGCACTGGTCACAAAAACCCCAGTTGAGAGAAGAGGCATCCATGAACACACCAAGAGAGTGCTCGAGGAGGTGCCACGGCATATAACCCCGAAAAACCCGCAGAGGAGGCCGCCAATGCAAAGCTCCTGGGATCTGAACCCAGCGATTGCGAGAGCAGCAGAAGGGATGTCCCCGAAGAAGCTAGAACAGCCGCCGAAGCCAGAGCCAACCTGACAGGTAGACCAGCACGGAGAAGTTCAGACTCCCGCACAGCCACTCAGACAACCGACTTGTGACCCGGGTGCCCACCAAAAACAGTTGTAGGCGGGACTGTAGCTGCAACAACACCGCAGGAGGGAGACAAGGAAGTGGTCCGAGAGTCCCACACAAGACCCAGCCAAGTTCGAACCTGAGAGGGAACCAAATGGAACTTCCTACAGTTCACCAAGAACTGGAACCCGGCGAGCTGGGAAAGAAGCAAAACCCTGGCGAGCAGACATGAGGACTGGCTAGGAGCCCAGACCAGCCAGTTGTCGAGGTAAGCCAGAACCTGAATCCCTAACAGACGCAAACAGATCACCACGACCCGGGTAAGGCGTGGGAACATGCAAGGTGCTAGATTCAAGCTGAACGGAAGGCAACAAAAGCAGTAAGCCTGTCGCCTCACGACAAAACTGAGCTAGTCCCTGAACCCCGGATGAATTGGAACGTGCCAATACGCGTCCCAGAGGTCTAGAGACACCATCCAAGTACTTGGTGTCATAAGCCACCAGATCTGAAACAGAGTGGCCATCCAGGGGCAAATGATCCAGGGGTTTAGACTGGACAAGTCCAGAATGAAATGCAGATCCGCACAGTCCTGATTCGGAACTGAAAACAGGCAAGAAACCCACCTAGGGATGCCGTCGATTTGACCACGCCCAAGCGAACCCACTCCATGATGACCTAACAGAGCGCAGGGAAAGAGGCCCGCTCTGCCAGCCCAGATCCCCCAAAGGAGGAGGAACTACCCAATTCCACTAATCGTGGGACCAGGAGAGAGCAAACAGCGCGAGCCTCCCCACCATGAGGCCTGAATCTGGCACCACTGGCTTACGACAAACGAAGGAACCCCAAGCCCTGGCACAACCCTTCTGGCCAGGACCACCATTCCCCCCCCCTCCCCCGACATAGACCGGCAACTAGACGAAGCTCCCCGCAGAAAATGCACCACTGCAGACTCTGCAATCAGCAACGGACAAAAAGAAGACGAAAATCTAAGAGCCAGGGCCCAAGCAGAATCCAAAGAGCGGACGAGCACCGCCTGTCGACACACAAGGCAAGATGCATGGAACAGAGACACCGCCTCCTTCAGAATCGGCGCATACAATCTCAACAATACAGCCGACGCTGGAGCCGCCGAGGCAAGCACACCGGACACCAGCCTGGAACCCAGCTCCTTCACATCCTCTTCGAGCCAGTCCAAAGACAGCTCCAGTAGAGAAAAGAAAGGCAAGACCACAGCCAAGTGCCCACGGGCGTGCAAATCCTTGGCCACCAGAAATGCCAAAAGGGAGGGAACCTGCACATGAAGCTGCACCTGGCCGATATCACAAGGAAGCACGGGGGCAAACAAACACGCATTGAGGTGCTCAAAATTGCCCCACTCCCCTGGAAAACTTGAACAATTAGTCAATTCCCACCATTCATGCGTCCGCGTCTGACAGAACAAATGCCAAGCCCTTAACGAACAATGGGCAGTCTGCCAACCAGGAAGACCCCGGCACCTCATAATGGACCCAATAAAGAAAATAGGAGCCAAACACAAAAGAAGAGTCCATAATCGAGGTTTACTCCGGGTCTCGCAGGAAGTAAGCCGCAAGGGCCTCCAGCACCTCCCTCTGTGGGATGCAGGAATCCAAAAACCTCCAGAGGGAGGGAACCGAGGAACCCAATGAAACCCAGAACCTACCCGGGGAAGAGTCACACTCATAACACACTTGTACAGGGAGGGGGGCTAGAAAAACCCTCCCCTCCCTGTAACAACAAGCCCCGTGCCGAGGGTACCAACACCCAAACATGGTCAAGCAGGGCCCAAGCCCCCCCAAGTCAACTCCTTCCCAACCCTGGCATCCTCCACGTCAGGACCCGGGGCCGAGCCACCCTCCAAATCCTCTGCCTCTGGAGAAAAAGCAGAGTCCACCAGAAAAGCAGGGATGAAGGAAGCCCGCTGGGGTGACCCAAAAGCTCAAGCAGGAGGAACAGGCTCGAATGCCTTCACTGCTGATCCGGAAAGGGCAAACCCTGAAGCCGCCCGAGTCTCACCACCAAGCAACAAAGAGGGGCAGCTGCGGGGCATCTGGAAGAGCAATCAACCTTGCATGTTGCAGCGACCTAAACCGTGCATGCAACACTGAAGCTGCCTGCACCCGAATATCAATATCAGTGGACTGGGTGAAAAGGAGTATAAGCAAGGAACACCACTCGCAGGACCCCGGGACAAAGGTGTCATTGACCCAATAGGCAGCATGGAAGAGGCAAAGGCGGTGAGTGTCACCCTGAGACAAGTGGACAGAGCAACCTTCAAACTCGCACAAACCCCACAAAAGCACAACGTCTCCAGGTGAACAGAACCGGTCGCTATGTGTATATCAGACAGCAGCACAGTACCTTGTGCCCCAGCCAGCGACGAAACTACCACCTACCCAAAGGCAAACAGGAGTACAAACCACCCCAGCTGAACCCCAAGGGCGGGCAATCACCGAGCAGCAACAGAACCTAGCGGAGATAGTTCCTAAATGGCTCAGGGAAGATAACCCTAGGCCGCAGGGGCAGTACTTACAGGGCTCCTGGGGAAGATAACCCTAGGTCGCGGGGGCAGTAATTACAGGGCTCCTAGGGAAAATAACCATTGGTGCATGCCGGCCCAGTACTCTTGTGTTACTCAGGGCTCGCACACCACCAACACAGAGCAACAACACTGCTAAGGAGCACTTCGCAAAGAGTGGAGCCAGAGTCGATCGACCATCACCAACACAACAGCCTGTGAATTGAGGAGAGTAACCAGCGGGAAGGTCTGGGACTCCCCCCGTCCCCCTCCCGGGGAGGGGGGGGTTGCTTAGATGGATGCGTGGCGATTGTGGTATTTTCATGTCACGACGGCGACGTCATGCTATTTTCCTTGTTTTTGATTGGGGAGTTCTGCTTGCTAGTTTGGCTTTTGGTTTGCAATTTTTGACAAGCAGAAGTTTGCTTTGGAATTCCTTCCTTTCTGGGTGCCTGACCTGGTAGATGGCAGACAAAGACTGCTTTCAATTACACGGGGGTGTCTTTAGGCCATTGCTCCTCGTGCCTGTCTTGAGGGGGGCCAGGTTCTGGCTCTGGTCCCCGGTAGGCCTAGAACTCCTTTGACTGACTGTTGCCACGGTCTAATATATACATATCAGTCCGGTATAACTCTGTGGAGCCGAAGGGGCTCTCCACAGAAAAGCTGCTAGTTACACAGGAATTAACAGGAATTATAAAATGGATTGTACAAAGTTTTATATTGCTAAAGTTCCTAGGAATACAGTGAAAGTTATACACTGAAATCAGCAGAATGTAATGTACAGTATCTGAGAAAATATTGTGAAGTTGTACGATAGGCTCCAACCCGCATGTGCTTGAAGAGATGAGGGATGTGGGTTTGATCCCATTGTAGAGCTTTACTGCTTTCTCAGTTAACTTTATAAGACAACAAATGCAAAATGAAGATACGATGGGCATTTATTTGATGGGAAAATTATAGAGTAACCTTTGGCCACAGCTGTACAGATCAATTAACCAGCTTTTATACATGTACAAGTTTCTGTGATGTCCCGTTATCAATCCCACTTCCACGCGCACACTTGTTCTCTTGAGGTCTCGGCTCGGTACCTTCTTCTGATCATTTCTTGTCCTAAGAGGGAACCAGCTTGGGACTTCATTTGCATGTCTAAGCTTCAGTATTGGCTTAAAGTTTGTAAATAACAGAGAGAGATAGAGAGATTACTGTACAGACTACAAGGTATGAGTCTTGCCTGGACCCTTTATTATACACTGTACAGACCACATGATGTGACTATTGCCTGGATTCTTGTAATAGTTACTATGCCCTAATCCCCCCAGATGTGCTGACCTATTTAACATCTGCAGTATTTATATTAATTCATCTCAAATTATTTGAGTTTTGTGTTAACACTTTTATCATTTTATTTTGCACTGTAATCCAGCTCTGTTGGGTTGATGTTATATATTTTGAATATTATATACTGTAATAAATTACTTATCAAAGAAATATTTTAAGCAATGTTCTACCTTTCTCTCACACGTAGGTTTCCAGTTCCACCTTGCAGCTTCCATAAATGCTGAAACAGATATTCCTCTGGTTCCAAGTATCAGTGGAGTAACGACCTCAGGAGAGGCTGAGCAAAGCTTTGTCATTCACTGGCTCAACAACAAGGAAATGCATTTTACATCAGAAGCAGAAAATATACTCCTAGAGGTAAACATACATTACTGTATTTATCTTAAATTTTGCAGCTAATTTTAAATACTGTATATAGTAATAAAAGTTCCTTTTGTTGTGGACATGAAGCCTGTACAGTACTTAGAATTGTCGAGATTTCTTCCCTAGGTCAACTACTGACCTTTCTCAGGATGCAACGTACAGCAGTTGCCTAACTCCCAGGTACCTATTTACTGCTAGGCAAACAGAGGCATCAGGTTTAAGGAAATGTGCCCTAACATTTCTGTTCCACCAGGCAATTGTACACTGGTCCCTTGATTATGAGGTGATGGCATAAACCACTGCGGGTGTGAAGCAGTGCACAAGATGAATACAGTAGTTCCTGTACTATACAATAAATGGCATGTGTATCAATAGGTTCTTTTAGTGAATACTCTATTGTTACATATATTATGTATATAATTCAATAATTCAAGTAATAACAGTCTCCGTGGTGTAGTGGTAAGACACTCGCCTGGCGTTCCGCGAGCGCTATGTCAGGGGTTCGTATCCTGGCCGGGGAGGATTTACTGGGCGCAATTCCTTAACTGTAGCCTCTGTTTAACGCAACAGTAAAATGTGTACTTGGATGAAAAAACGATTCTTCGCGGCAGGGGATCGTATTCCAGGGACCTGCCCGAAACGCTACGCGTACTAGTGGCTGTACATGAATGTAACAACTCTTGTATATATCTCAAAAAAAAAAAAAAAAAAAAAAAAAAAAAAAAAAAATTATTTTTAATATGTATTTAGTATACTGTACTGTGCATAATGTATATTTGTTGAAGTGTTTTATTGTTCTTTTGTGAATTCAAATTTAATTTAAATAACATGACCACATAAAGAACTTTCTTATAAAAAAACAAAGGCTGTTATTGAGGTAAGGACTGATTCATTTTCTAGAGGGAGCTCTTCTTCCCCATGGCTCCCTGAAGCTATCTCACTGAGAATGTTCCATCTACTTTGTCACATCAGTTGCAGGAGTTCTGTTTGACCTACTGGGGACCAGAGCCAGAACCAGGTCTCCCTCACAGAGGCACACAGAGTGATGGACAATTTACCACCCCATCAGGAAAGCATCCAGAAAGTCATTGAAGCTTTACAGACAACTAGGTTCACAGAAAACAAAGCCTGGACGCTGCCTAACAACTCGGCAAACGATTCAGACGAAACAGTAGATTCACTCAAAACTAGCTCAAGCTCGTTAGTACCTACAGCTGCCACCAGATGGCCCAGCCCACAGCAGCCTCCCCTGGTCAGTGCTGTCACTGGTGTGATGGTGGTTAATAATACCTGTAGTGTTCTGGTCTGTCAGTCATGGCAAGCCCCTCTGCTTCTGGCTAAGTGCTGGCCAACCTTAGACTTCATTTGTTGTACAGAGCCCATTTCTTTGACAATTGTTCCTTGATTTTATTATTATTACCTTCACATGCATATTTTCTCTTTGGCTTGTTGTGTAAGTGTGGCTTGTAGTGTGCTTGGACCTGCATGTACTCAGGGTTTTCTTTCCTGGGTGCTCACTAGCGCTCCCCTTGCACTGACAGAGTTACTGTTCTACTCTGGTGTGTTCTGGAGTTCACCCCCGAGAGGTCAGACCAGTATGATGGAAAGCCTTTCCTTTGGCTGTTAGTGATTTTTTGATTCTTCTATTTGGGTCCGTGGCTGTAGCCATTCTGTTGGTTGACTTGGGGTATGCAAGGGCACCTGCACTTGTTTATATAGCACACTGTGGTCCCCATTCATAGCCTGGGAGTATTGGCTGCATTTGGAGTCTGTTTTTTTGGCGAGTGGCCCCAGTGCCTGGGTGTACTGTTTGGTTAGTTACCTTCAGGCCCTGCTGATACCTCCATGGGTCTCGGACATGGTTCATTATGGATCGAACCGCCGAATCCATGCTCACTATATGTGAGCTTGGAGGGTGTTCCTCATCTTCTTGCTACTAGATCATGATCATTCTTTTTGCCTCTGCCATGCTGGCTGCTGGGTCAGTGACACCTGAGACCCCAACTCCTGTAAGATTTACTTTCATGGGGTCTCTGCATTGTCTGATTCAGCTTTGAGTTTGGAAGCTTATCAGGTGCTGCTGTTTTATGAGCTAGTTTGAGTGGGTTAGGCATTCACAGCATTGTGATTGTTTGGGATGCCCCAGAGTTGGCCCCCCTATGGTGTTTAGGGACTCAGAATTAGAGGTGTTGGTGATCCCCAACTGGACTAAGTTTGCACCTCCTCTTTCTTTCCCTGTGGGTATGGGTCACCCTGCTTCTGGCCTTCCCTTCCTGGTTCCCTTTGAAGCATCTGAGAGTTTTGGAGTTGGGTCAGGGTTTGGCTCGGGGTGCAATTTGGCCTTCGTCAGGGTGGCTCCATCCACTTCAACAGTGGAGGTAGTCGAGTCTTCTCTTAGGCTTGTTTCAATGCTTCCACCATTTTCTGAGACCTCTGCAGTTGTCTGCCAAGCTTCACTGACTTTCTGGATGCTTTCCCGATGGGGTGGTGAATTGATACTATAGTACTGTACATATCATCCTTTGCAGATGATACTAGATTTTCATGAGGGTAGACAATATAGAGGACATAGCAAACCTGTAATCTGATGTTATCATGTCTTTCAATGGGCCATAGAAAATAACATAATGTTTAATGAAAATAAGTTCCAAATACTGCACTATGGAAAAATTAAAACATCAAAGCAGAAACACTCATAAAACAGTCAAACCACACTATTGAAAGGAAAAAGCAATGTAAAAGATTTAGGAGTAATCATGTCAGAAGACCTTACTTTTAAAGAACACAACAAAGTTGCTGTCACAACTGACATTATTGTTCTCTAGAGTGGAATATTGTTGCACACTAACAGCCCCATTGAAAACTGGAGAAATTGCTGACCTGGAGAGTGTGCAAAGATATTTTACCACTAGAATCCACTCAATAAAATGTGAAAATTATTGGGATCATCTGAAAATGTTAAAACTGCATTCGCTTGAGTGCAAGCGGGAGAGATACATAATACACTAGAAGGTGAAGGGACGACGACGTTTCGGTCCGTCCTGGACCATTCTCAAGTCATTCTCATTCAACTTACTTTAGCCACGTTATTGTGACTCATCGCCTGCAGTTACATAATAATTTAGGGTTGGAAAATATTAGAAGGACTGGTTTCAAATATACATGGAAATGACACCACATAAGGACCAGAAAGCATGGCAGGATGTGCAAAATATCCTTACTGAAAAGCAGAGGTATAATAGGCACCATGAGAGAGAGAGAACTCGGTCAACATCAAAGGCCCAAACCTTTTCAACACTCTTACCCTACATGTACAGGGGGGCATTACTGGCTAACCTCTAGCAGTGTTCAAAAGAGAACTCAACAAGCCCCTTCAAAAGATACCTGATCAACCAGGTCGTGACTCGTACTTCAGACTGCAAGCAGCCTCATCGATCAGCTTGGTTGATCAGACTCACAACCAGGAGGCCTGGTCCGAGACTGGCCACGGGGACGTTGATCCTCGGAATCACCAGCAGGTAGTCAACAGGTGGTCTGCACCTCTATAAGGGGGGTGGGGGGTCAGGTTCTGGCTCTGGTTCCCAGTTGGCCAAACAGAACTCCAGCAATCTCAGTGAGACAGCTTCAGAGAGCCACTGGGGCTGTTCCAAAAAGAGGCATTTCATTACATTGAATGCTGTGTTTTTTTTTAACTAGAAGAGCTCTCTAATGTACTCAAGATAGGCCTATCTGCCTACTTGTTGATTCTGTTGATCAATGTCCCCACAGCTGAGTCTCTTACCAGGCTGTATTATCATTCAGTCACGCATTGCAAATGGCTGACAGGCAGATGAAAGTTGAACATTCCTTTCAAATTTCTAGAATCTCTTCAATTGGATAATGAATAAATTTGTCTTAATGGTAACACAGTCATTAAATAATGTATGACATATCAGGTATGGGTTATGTATACTGGGTAAGATGATGCGAGCTTCTTTCATAACTGCCAAACGCAGCACAAGTTTGTGATAACACGCTGAGATAACTCGGCTTGTTTTCAATATTTTATTATTAGCAACGATTTTTGTGCCTAGCGAACTTACTCAGTGTGCTTGTCCGGCTCCCTAGTTTATGCCCCTCGGTTTCACATCTGTAATACGGCCACATTAGACGCAGGGCACCTTTTTTGATACATTTAAAAATGAAAAAAGTTTATCCTATACACCAGCAAATACAGTATAGTAGTACGGTAAATATTGTAGAAGATTCACGTAAGTAGAATACAAAAATTTAATTATTTAATCTTTCCAGAATTGCGACAGAAATTAGATATTGTGATGCAAACAATATGCTGTGAAGCTATATTGATGTGCAAACATATATGCTAATAGTCCAAGGGTCTTTGGAAATTTATGATATTTTAATATTTTCTTTACAGATAAGTCGGCGTGCTATGGAAAAAGAAACAGCCTCATTAGATCATGATCGTCACTCCGAAGTGAGTGATTTTGAGGATCCTCGGCTACGGGCAGCAGCTAGTTTACGTTTGGGGTCACGAACTCCTTCACACATGACGAGCCGAACTCGTAGTATTGATGATGACGATCCCATTAGCCAACACTCGGCATCGGCTCGTTCTCATCAACCACTGAGTGCTGCTACTTCCTCTACTTCCATTGCAACTGATGTTACTACTGCAACTACTTCTGCTCTTGGCGATACCCTTGACCGCCGCATTGAAATGTTATTACGAGACTGGCATCAAAATTCGGATGTTCTTTTTTCAATTCACCCGGTGGATGGTTCGCTTTTGGTATGGATTGTTGACTTTCTTGACGACTATCCAGGATCTTTCCGGCAAGCACAAGTCTCATTTAGTGCCAGAATTCCTAATGCACTCCCTCTTGGCGATGCTATGACAATGTCACCAAATCTGGCCATCTACAATGGCACAACCCCATCATTCCTCAAACAGTTACTTAAATTGGAACTAGCACATGAAGAGGAGCTGTAAGTGATCCTTAAACTTGTATTTCAAAGTACTTAGAATAAGAGGAAAATTTTTAACTACTTCTCAAATAATTAAAAATATTACAGTAATTCCTTGATTGGCATGATTAAAATACTATATATAGGTAATCATTACTACATTTTAGAATCCTATGAAGGAATACCTTTATGAAGAATCTCGTCTGATTTTTTTAACTTAAGTTTCAAATGTTAAGACCTAGAGGGTTCGTAAAACATCTACTCATAAGTTTTAGGTCTTTGTTTGGCCCATGATATAGTTGAAGCCATGCAATGGGATTGAACCCACACCCCTGTCTTTCCTCGGCACACACACACACACACACACACTATTGAAAATCAGTATTGTATGAGCTGGGATATCCGAAGCCTGCTAAACTGAATATAGTCATAAATTCTTTGGTGTTAAAATGTTTGAAAATTAATCTGCTAGAATTTAGATTAACAACAAAAAGTGTAGTGATATAGATTATTCATGATGATATTGAACATATAAAAATTTATGAACATTTTGCCATTCCTCAATTGTGGGGGAGCCCCTTGGTGGTCTCCGGAAGGGATAATCCTTCTGGCTCCTTGTTGGCCAGCTCAGCCTTGGGTTTTGACTCCTCTGGCCCAGTGTCCATTCTCAGGTGTTTTCTCCCTGGCTCCTCTTTTTTCAATGGATCGGTTCGGTGACATACCTTGCTGGTTCAACCTTTTCATCTCTTCATATTTGAACTTTCTGACACAGATCTTTTGCAGTTTTTAATGGCAGACAGATGGCTGGGTTATTGGTGTGCCAATAATCTTCATTTACCTTCTAAGTGACAGTATGAAGTGGCTTGGTACTTGTCTCTGTTGTCTTTCTTTGGTTTTGGTTAGTGTGGTATTACCTGTTCTTTTGTGGTTGTTTCTTGATCAGCATTTCGTGCCTAATACTGTTGCCTCTTATTTGGTGTTGGCAGAGCCGCTGTTGCTTGCACTTGACATCGATAAGAATCGGACATAGGGGATCGATGGTCCCCCTATAGTTTGGGATGCCTTTTTTAAGGTTTCTTATTTGAGAGTGGGGGGGGGGAAGAGTCTCTTGCCTCAGGTTTGTGAGCTTCACACTCTTCTGCATGAGTGGAGTTTTTACTCTTTTTAGCCCTGTTGGTCATTTTCTTTGTTTGCAACCTTTTCCTTTCTTGGCAAAGAATGAGTTGGAGGGCTTCTGGAGGGATCAGTTGGTTGTTAATACTTTGTTGGTTCAGCCGGGGATTCATCGTATGTTGTCAGGTGGCGGTGGTTCATCACGGCCTGCTTGTCAGGTGGAGGTGGTTCATCACAGCCTGCATGTCAGATGGCGGTGGTTCATCACAGCCTGCATGTCAGGCTGTGATTGTTTGTAACGGGTTCCAGCTACTTTAGAGGTAATTACTTGGTTAAATTATTTAGGTAGTTGTTTGGCCGTTTCGAGGCTTCAGGTGTTGTGAATCCAGCAATTATGTGTAAAGCTTTGCACACTTTCTGGATGCTTTTCCAGTGAAATAACAGAATGTCATTTGCTCTTTGTGCACAAAGATTGTTCTATATCACTTTAAAAAGAAAGTAAACATAAATTTCAGACTTTGCCAGCAGGAAATTTAGAAACCATAGTGAAAATATTCTTCAGTAATAGAGGCTTTGCAAAGGTGATCTCCCAATGGTCATCTGATACATTTGTTGCTCACCCTCATAAGCTTTGTCCAAACTACAATAAACAAGCAAAACAAAAAAGTGATTTTTGGAATTCAGAGATGGCAAATGCATTTAACAGTATTGGAACATTTACCGTCGAAGAACAAATGATGTGGTTTAGTGTCTTCGGATCATTTACTGTTTAATTACGGAGGATGCATTGTAATGTGATTGGAATGCTAAAGTGTTACAGGAGAAAACACACAGCAGGCCAGCAGGGGAAACTGCAGTATGTGTAGCCAGAGAAAACAACTTTGTTTCTTGGAAGAAAATCAGTTATTTGCCTCCGTGGTAGTTACTTTCGTGGGTGACTTTAGCTGCCAGTTTTTACAGGCCTTGAGAGCTGCTCGAGTTAGGAAAATTTCCTTTTGACTTCATTTTGAAGCAAGTGAGGATTTTGTTTTTATTTTGTTATATTCATATTGCATTAGTCATTGCTAGAATTACATAACAACAGTGTCCAGTTCTATTGGTATTGGTGCCATATCATTAATTACAATGCTCAGTGCTTTTATCTTGCAATTTTATTTTGTCATTAACAGCCGTAGTGGAAAGACTAAGAGTAAGAGCAACCTGACACTGTCAAGTAATGACGAGCGGGATGTGCTGGGAGGAAGCAGCAATCCATCCCCAATCATCTCCATGACCACCAAGCACAGCAACGGATCCCTCAATCTGTGGCATCTTACTGTAGCTGAAGGGTCCAGGTTTACGCAGGTAAAGAGCACACTTTACACAAGATTGTAAGAGTTTGATAGATTGTAATCCTTAAACAACTCTGCTAATTATAAGCCCTATATTATGATGTGCAAGCTTAAAAATAGTTCACAAAACTAATGTAAACAAAATTGCATTTGGTGATTCAATCACAAGAGGTCAACACAGGTAGCAATTGGAGCCGTTTAAGTGTTTAATGTGTGTGTGGAATCTAAGAGAGGAAGCTATACGCTACACAATGCACCCAAAATAACATGCTATATCAATAAGAAAATGTTTGGAGCAGAATGGTCGGATTGAACTTGGCATCCTGAACATGTTGCTAAGTTGGAACCTTAGAACGGGAATAAGGTTGGAATTGGAAAGGTTGGAATAAAGTTTGAATTGGAACGGGAACGTCGTTCCCTCTATAGGCGAAGAAAACGAATCGTGGAACAACTTCAGAGTCGCACCTTATCTCAAGAACGGCGAAGAAGGTTAGGTAGAGAAATAGAAACAATTGAACTAAAGCTATAAGAATCATACAAAACCCAGGAGAGGCAAAGAGAGCAAAAGGCCATCAGTGAAATAGAGAGAAATCCAAAATATTTCTTCTCCTATGCAAAATCTAGATCAAAAACCACATCTAGTATCGGGCTCCTGCGAAAGGGAGATGGAACTTTCACTGATGACTACAAAGAAATGAGCGAAATACTGAGGAATCAGAACGACTCTGTTTTCAGCGAGCCACTGAACATACTGAAGATTGATAACCCAAATGAATTTTTCATGGATATGATACCAACATCAAATCATATATCAGATGTCACCCTATCCGCACTGGATTTTGAAGAAGCCATAGACAGCATGCCTATGCACTCTGCACCAGGCCCTGACTCTTGGGAACTCTGTATTCATCAAGAACTAAAAAAATGCTATTGCAGGCCCTTCACATTCTTTGGAGACAAAGCCTAGATACTGGCATTATCCTTGACATACTAAAAACAGCAGAGATAGCACTGCTCCATAAAGGAGGAAATAAGGCAGAGGCCAAAAAATTACAGACCGATAGCACTAACATCGCACATCATACAAATTTTTGACAGAGTGCTAAGAAGTAAGATCACAAAATACATGGAATCACAGCATTTCCATAACCCCGGACAACATGGTTTCAGAATAGGGCGCTCTTGCCTGTCACAGTTGCTGGTCCACTATGACATGGCATTAGATGCCATGGAAGACAAACAAAATGCTGATGTAATTTACACAGATTTTGCAAAGGTCTTTGACAAATGTGACCATGGTGTTATTGCACATAAAAAGCGTTCAAAAGGAATTACCGGAAAAATAGGCAGATGGATCTACAATTTCCTGACTAACAGAATCCAATCTGTAATAGTCAACAAAATAAAATCCGGACCATCAACCGTGAAGAGCTCAGTACCCCAGGGTACTGTGCTTGCTCCAGTACTAAATATAAAAATGGAAACCACGTTCAAAACTCAGTCAAATCATAACATAGAACGAAAAGGCAATGTAAAGGATTTGGGTATACTCATGTCGGAAGACCTTACCTTCAAAGAACACAATAAAGTAGCCGTCATAACTGCAAGAAAAATGACAGGTTGGATAACAAGAACACACTAGAGATGCTATACCGATGATACTTTTCAAGACGCTAGTGCTCTCTAGAGTGGAGTACTGCTGTACAATGACAGCCCCTTTCAATGTTGGAGAAATTGCTGACCTGGAGAGCATGCAGAGATCCTTTACTGCTAGAATCCACTCAGTAAAACATCTAAACTCCTGGGACCTACTAAAGAGCCTAACTCTGTACTCCCTTGAGCGCAGGCGGGAGAGATACATAATAATTTATACGTGGAAAATATTAGAGGGGCTGGTCCCAAACCTGCACACAGAAATAACACCACATGAGACCAGAAGACATGGCAGGATGTGCAGAATACCCCCATTGAAAAGCAGAAGTGCAACAGGTATTCTGAGCGAGAACTCTATCAACATCAGAGGCCCGAGACTGTTCAACACGCTTCCACTACACATAAGGGGCATAACTGGCCGACCCCTCACAGTGTTCAAGAGAGAACTGGATAAGCACCTCAAAAGGATACCTGAGCAACCAGGCTGTGATTCATACTTCAGGCTATGAGCAGCTGCGTCAAACAGTCTAGTTGACCAGTCCAGCAACGAGGAGGCCTGGTCATCGACCAGGCCGCAGGGACGCTAAGCCCTGGAAACACTTCAAGGTAACTGGGTGCTCCCACGCAAATGCTTTAAACCACTGGACCACAATATGCTCTAAGTAATGTAACCTGGAATTCAACTTAATCCAAGGGGTATTGAGGCATCAAAAAGGTAAGAGTGAGAAAATGGTAAGACTAAAAAAAAAAAAAAAAGAATTAAGAGAATCGGGTAAAGTACAGGAAAGGTACCTTTTCTGTACAGTACTTTATCTGATTCTCTTACTTCTTTTTTTTATCTTATTCTTACTTTTTTCTATCATACTACTCTTACCTTCATCTTTCTTTTACATTCATCTCCCCTTTAATCTCACCCTTTTCCCTTATAGTGTTTTCTTTTTCCCTCCCTTTTTATTACTTGACTTTATAATGGTCCAGAATGGACCAAAATGTTTTTAAAAATGTTGTTGTTCCTTCATTTTCAGACGTGTGGGTTGGGTATCAACTTTTCTGCCATGTTATTGTAACTCAGCATCTGAATTGTAAATATTTCTGCAGGTCCTTAATATCTCCCACTTCACACGAGTGTGTGGTCACCGTTTCCAGTTAAACGACATAAAATGTCACCCTGTTCTGCCGCTGCTTCTCTCGACATCCCACCACAACAAACGAGAAGTGTCTCCCAGCAATCCACCTAGTACTGATGAAACTCCTCTGATATGTATCCAGGTAATGGTGCTGCAGTTGGATACAAGTGCAGTGTGCACAGTTCTATATGACTAATGTGGGGACTGCATGTTAGTTATGTATGGATAGTTTGATAACTTATCTTACACTACTGTAGATCTTTTTACTATATGAAAATTTTCTTTAATATTTATTTATAACATGCATATTTCAATGATGCCTTCTGCATCTTTCTATATATAATACTGTATGGTACTTATGATCACTTCCTGATGACACATTTTGCATCGATTGTTCTTCGATTCCGATAGTCATCTCGTTTCTCCTATATTATCCCCTGTCAGGTTCAAGGACTGTTTTCCTCTCATGTAAGCAGTGTGTATCTGGTTTGAGTTTCCACAACAGACCACAGCTCATGCATTGACATTTTATTGCCAGACTTCTCAGTTCTTACACATTGTGCATACTGAGCATTGTGCATGCTTATCCTGTCACTCAGATCCATATTAAGGCTTCAGGATAGGAAGGGCACTGCTCAGGGCTTATCTTGAGGGCTTCAGCTTTGTCAGGTCAAAGTTTGTAAGACAAGCTCTTGTGTTCCTATCACCCTTCTTTGGTTGCAAATCCTAACTTGCCCTGGTCCTCTCCTGTATAGCCACCTGTTGTGTCAGTAATGACATTTTGGGAGTAGATATCTTCAGGGCCTCCTTCTTCACCAGTCCTATGTTACCCTGGTCCTCTCGTGTGTAGTCACCAATTGTGACAGTATTGGCATTTTATGGTAGTAGATACCTCTGGGCTTGCTTCGTCACTGGTCCTGAGGTCTCCTGGTTTTCTCTGGTCCCTCTTCTATGTACTCACCAGTTGCATCAGTGATGGAGTTGTAGGAATAGATAGCTTTAGATCGTGCTTCTTTGCCAGCTGTAGTCATGTGGGTTTGCTGATGTTCCTCCTGCAAGGTATAGTGGTGTGAGGTAAGGAAGTTTAGGAAGAATTTGGTTAAGGAAGATGTTATGTCTGAAGTAATGGTTCATGACTCTGTATTTCCCTTCGCTGTTTGATATTGGCTGTTCCTGTTTTCCAGCTCAAGTTCAGTTCATCATATCTTCTTCTGACATGCAGTATATGAGCGGCCTTTTCAGAAGTTCCTATTCTCCTGTCTTTCTGGACTGAAGGCAAGAGAAGTTCTTGCAGTTATACACAGTTTCATATTTACAGAAATAGGACCACACTTCTGAGAAGATCCAGCTCTCTTGTAGTTCATATCTGCACGTATTTTCTGGCTCCAGTGCCGAGTCTTTGATAACTCCTATTTAGCTTTTGGTGCCTCATTTTTCTTTAATGGCATCTTTTCTGTTGCCCACATACACTAAAATGGGATGAAACTTCCTCCATCATCAGTATTATTCTGCTGAAGGGGCAGTTGGACTTCTTGAACATGGCTCTCTGTGTTCCTGTTGTCTGTGTGTGTCTCAAGATATTGCAGCTTGTCAGATTTTACCTTATGGAAGTGTCTAATTGTGGTAGAGTTGAAGGCTTACATACACTTGGCAGCTACTCATCAGTTGGTGGCAGATGCAGCTGCAGATTACTCTTCTATTTGGCTTACTTACAGAACTGACAATTTTAGGAATGCATCTGGAGGGTTCCTCTCCTGCTTTGCACTTCATTTTCAGCTCTCTTTTCTGAAGAGGTGTGGAAGTACTCAATCATTGATCCAGGTGTTCCACTTGAAGCATTGAGCTTCCTTTTCTTCTTGTGGAGGGTTGGCTTGTAGTGGAATGGGTGACATATTTTGGTTCCTCCTCTGGGAGAAGTTTCTCTTTCTGCTCTTCTCTGTCTTCCCAAATTGGCATTGCAATCTCGAGTGTGTACCTTCAGGAGATGGAGGACAAGAGCATGGTTTGCTTGACTCATTCTCTTCAGGTGCAGTCCTGTTTCTTCTGTGATCTGAGGATTATTCTCTCTTTGGGTCAATGCCCACATCCCTTGCTCTGTTTTTTGCTTGATGACTGAGGCTCTTATCTGGTGTATTCTGTACTATGAATCCTGGCATGGTTTCCAAGTCCTCCAGGATGCTTATTGACATGTTTCATTTCATCAGCCGTTCCAACCTGTCATTCAAAAATGATGGTACTTATAGCAACTATTGGAGGAGTGTACAAAACTAGACAGTTACACCCAAAATAGGTAATGTTTTGTAATATTAATTTTGTAGGGAGCACAGGAACAAAGGCAACAACTAAAGCTAAACTTTCCTAGGCCTAGTACAGGCATCTCCCAGCCTAGTTGACTAGACCACCAACCAGGAGGCATGACATGAGACTAGGCCACAGGGTCATTGATTCCCAAAACCAACAACAGGTAAAACTGTAAGAATAGATGTTCATGGCTTTCTCAGTTGTGCAAATTTTGTGCACAAATCAGCTTGGGAATGGAAGAGTGCACATCATCATATTGCACAGACCTAAAATCTTTAGTTATGGACTGAGGTCTGCCATGTTGGCTCTTTCTGGAGAGCCCACATTGCCAGCATCCCAATGTTACCACAAAGGTCATTATGTGTTCATTCCCTGGCTAATTAGAAGGAGTTAAGCATTCTTATCTCAGAAGTTAGGGGCCAGGAGTCAGCCATTTCAAGAGAGGTGTAAGGTGGTGGTTCCCAGCCAGCTGTCAGAAAGGGAGGCGGTGAATAAGGAATCACCATCTTAGATTTCACAACGTCATTTCTGAGGGAAGCCCCGTTGGCTCCCTGGAGCTATAGGACTGATATTAGCTACATTTGTCTGGGGCTTCAGTCATATGGAGTTGTCATGCCTACCAGGAACCAAGAGCCAGAACCTGGGGTCCCTCAGAGAGGCACAGGGAACAATGGCCTATGAAAACTCCACTCTTTGAGAGTACAGTATATTCATGTCTGCCATTGACCAGGGTTAGGCAAAAGGTAGACCGGGGTTAGAAAGGTAGGGGCCCCAAAACAGACCCCCAACTAGTAGAAAATTGCAACCGGAGACCGAAACAGAGGCTAAAAACTCCCCCCTAAGAAAAACGAGGAAACGAGCAAATCATCGTCAATCTGACTCGCCACACATTTGCGCTGCAGCCACCCCCACCCCCTACAGAGCGGGTCGTCTGCCTACTAGTTTTGTCGACTGAAGCCAACTGGGGCAGATGTCTACTCTGATCTCGATTGCCTGTCAGGGTTGTAAGATAGGGGATTGAAAGTCGTACCCTAGAGTATCGCTGACGACACCCGCTCTTACTCCTTATAAGTAATGGGGGGGGGGGGGATATTGCATTGGCAAAGCCGCTCCAGCTTGTGTTGGGGTGAATGTCACTTTTGCTCCATTTCGTAAGCTTTCCTGCATTTTTCCACCTCTGGCCTGCTCATGCACTGCCTGAGCCATCCTGGTCTTTGGACCAGGTGCTCTCTTTTCTCCTTTTCTCTTGGTTTGTGGTGGCCCCTTTGGTCCAATGTCGTTTTCACAAAGCTTTGTTTCTGAGGGGAGCCCAGGCTGATATGCTAATGTCAGACTTTGGCATCAGTCATGTGTATGGAGTTCTGTGGGCCTACCGGGGACCACGAGCCAGAACCTAGCCCCCTCAAGAGAGGTATGGGGAGCAATGGCCTATAGAAACCCCCGTGTGGTTGGAAGCATTCTATGTCTGCCATTGACCAGGTCAGACACCCAGAAAGGTAAGCATCCCAAAACAAACCCCTATTCTGGTGAAAATTGCTACCAAAAGCCGAACAAGTGGATAGAACTCCCCAAAACGAAACAAGCAAATGAGCATGATGTCACACGTCACCGGACCACTGTCTGCGCAGCTCTCCCCTTCCTGGTAGGGAGAAGGGAAGAGCCCAAGACCCTCGCACCGGCTATCCACCCTTTAGTTCCAAGGCTAATACTAGAGGCTGAGGTCGTGTGCTCTGGCTCCAGTAATTTTCAGCACTCTGCATAGAGTGTGGTGGCTGGCTTCCTGGGGTTCCAATACAGTAGCCTAAAACCACAAATAAACTTAAGAATTTGATGCAAGGCCATTGATGAAGGTAATCCATCTACATTCCTCTGTGCATTGGAGACGTTCAACGTGGTGCATCACGACCAGGTGCACACCCATCTGAGAAAGTAGACTCACTGAGGCTCCCTCACTTGACAAGCTGTGTTCTGGTCGGGTATGGCTGCTCTCATAATTAATCTTGCCATTGACAGCCACTTTTGTGCAAGCTGCCATTGACTAATTGGTAGTGTTACACCCAATTGCAGTCACTGAAAATTCTAGTTTTCCACAACCACTTTAGAGGGTGCTTCCTTATGGGATGAACCTGGCTCCTATCTGATCACACCTGAGTTAACTTTCATATATTTATATGAAAGAATTATACATCTTGGATTCAAATATCAAGAAGTTAGATATAACAGAGTTGGCTGTATGTATTATTGAATGTGATTTTTTAGCATTATACAATACGAAACAAACCAAAATCACAAGAGTGAAATGTATTAATGAGAACATTTTTGAGTAATGTACTAGCACTGAACCCACGTCTCACCGTATTGCTCCATACTTTTCTCATTACACAATACAATTTAAAGCTTTTATATATTAAACACTAATTTCTTTAAACTAAAATTATTTTATTAAAATTGTTCTCATAGGATGCAACTTACAAAGACTGGTGTAGTGAACTAATATTATGGCGTGTGGATGCTGTAGGACCACTCAGCAAGTCGGGGGGTGTTACCGAGCTAGCAAGAATCAACTCTCCACAAGTGTCGGCTTTTTCCAATGCTGCCTGGATCCCCACACTTTTACCAAGGTACTGAGCATTCTTTGCAGGCGATGAGTCACAATTACGTGACTGAAGTATGTTGAGAATTCTTTATTCCTCTAAGAGCTCCAGTCTTAGTCTCCAGTCTCCAGTAGAGCTTTTACACAGCTCCAGTCACTATCTGTGATTTTCACTTGTGTGCAAAACTTGCCCATTTTCATGATTTGCCTCTCTTTAACCACTGTGATGCACTGAGTTTATTGTGAAATTCCCCCTGTGCGCATGAAATCAAGTGTTCCCCAAAATAATTTTTTCTTTGTAAAATTATAAATTCCCTTCCCTGAACATATCTATGTAAAAATAAATACCAAATTCCACTTACTTTGGCTGTGGGGACGTGGACAAAGTGCGCTGTGACGTCATCAGGGGCTGGTCACCCGTGTGTGACATGCCCAGACACGTCGCGGGGACCATTCAAGCACCGGGTGTTGCCACAAATATATTTTCAATTATTTGTTCTATATATTTCCAATATGTTTTTTTTTTTTTAACGTATATGATGCCTATTGTGTCCTTTACAATATGTATATTTACAATAGAATGTTCATAATGTTCCATGGAACTAATACATGTGTCAGTAATGTGTCCACAATAAATGTTTATTGTCGCAATATTACTTGTTTAAAATTCAATAAAATTACAATATGTACAGTTTCACACACTATTTACACAGTAACACACTGTATTACACACTCAGTACTTCGGAAGTGAGTAATAATCAATGAAATAGTCCATGGTGCACAGCGCGACTTCACTCTCGTTGCACCAGGTACAGATAGATTTTCACTTCCTGTTTCTTCGTTCTGTGTGCTTGCAAATAACGCACTCACGTACACCCTTGGCTTTAGTACCTGTAGGTGGTATGTAGCTAAGCTTGTAAAGCATAAAATAGTCTTGAAAAGTTTATAGGAAAAGATCAGTTTGTAAGGATCATGTAAAAGATCAGCTTAAACTCTTCCCACGCAGGAAGAGTTTAAGCCAGCCTCGAAGAGTGTCCGTTAGTCTGGAAGAGATTCAGCCAGCCTCAAAGAGTGTCCATCAGTCAGGAAGAGACTCAGCTATTCTTGAAAATATCTCTGGAAAATACCACCATGGAAGCCACTAACACTGTTCATCTATGCTACTTGTATCAGATGCATCATCACTGAATGCAGAAAACGGTTCATCTATGTATCATCTATATAAATTGGAGATAGCATAGGTGGGCAAGGGAGGCCCTCAGAGCTACAACTGGATGCGCTCACTGTATTGTCATCATAGGTGCTGTATCACTTGCATCTGACCTTTGTGTTAGGTCCTTATTGCGCTTAGCTTCACCAATATCATGACCCTTATGATCTTCAAACAATAAGGTTTGAATTTCACCGACAGCAAGCGATTTTTCAACACCGCATCGGACAAGTGTTTGTAAGCCAGAGGCGCGTGCGCCACCCATGGTTGCTCACTCAGTACTAACCCAGCCAGCAGCCCTAGGGCATTCTGGGAATATTTTCCAAGATGGCTGCCTCTCACTGGAGATCCTAAGAGTCCATTTCGTACACAACCAACCGCGCGCACATTTAGAATGGGTACGAAAAAATAAAAAATAGTTTTCTCGGTTGGCACAGTTCCCACCGACCGAGAATACTCGGTTGGCACAGTTTAGTGGTAAAGTAATCCAACCTTTTAGCCAAACCAGAAATGTATGAACCTAAGTAACCCACCTTACCTATCAAGTTTGATACCTAGAAAATTGAAATATTTATGAGCCATTGCTTTTCTTAGTACGGTACTTTGCACATGTAACGTTGGTTAAAATAATATAAAAAATATGACCTATTAGTTGACAGGACTGGTTGGCAAATCACCATATGTGATTAGTCTTAATGAGTTTTTGATACTTCTTTCTGTGTGTACCTGGATGTAGGACTTTTATATAGCTTAGTAGTTTATGGGGTTAATAATCAGTCCTATGATTTACTGCTTGAACGGTATGATTGGTTTCAGATGCACTTGGTACAGCCAGCTTTTTTTTTGCATCAATTTTTCCCATTTTTTAACTGTTTTGTAGGAAGAACCTCTGTACCCCCTCCCTTCCTTCATTTTGTTTCCACCCTATTCCTTTCTTTTCCTGTGGGTACTGGGGGGGGGGGGGAGGCTTTGATTGGGTGGCAAGGGCCTCGGGTGATCTAACCTGCCATCTGTTAGCAGTCAGGCTCATTATGGCTGGTGTGTTTACCCCACAGTAACAATTGTTTGCTTGGTTTTCCTCAGTTTCACTAGTTGGCATCATGAATTTGCTGTTTATATGCTCTTATACTTTCTGCTGTAATTACCTAAGTGTAGTTACAGGATGAGAGCTACGTTTGTGGTGTCCCGTCTTCCCAGTACTCTGTTGTATAATTCTTTGAAACTACTGACGGTTTTGGCCTCCACCACGTTCTCATTTAACTTGCTCCAACCGTCTGCCACTTTGTTTGCAAAAGTAAACTTTTTAATATTTTTTTGCATCTTTGTTTCCTTATCTTGAATCTGTGTCCTCTTACTTGTGAAGTTGCTGATTTCAGGAATCTCTGTCAATTTGGTCAATTCCTGTTAGTATTTTGTAAGTGGTGATCATATCACCACTTTTTTTGCTCTCTTCTAGTTTTGGCTTGTTCAGTGCCTCAAGTCTCAACCCGTAACTCTTGTTTTTCAGTTCGGAAGACATTTTGTAGTATGCCGTTGCACCTTTTCCAGTTTATTTATGTGATTCTTGAAATATGGGCACCATAACACTGCTGCATATTCCAATTTTGGTCTCGCAAAAGTCATAATCATTTTCTCTAGTATTTCACCATCTAGATAATTAAAAGCAAGTCTGAAGTTGGAATGCGATGTATACGCTCCTCTCACAATGTTCTTTGTGTTTCTCTGGCAACGGCTTTCTATCCAAAACCACCCCTAGGTCTCGATAACGGAACAAGTGCTTCTTCATGGTGTATTGTAGGATAAAAGCTGCTTCATGGTATATTGTAGGATAAAAACTGCTTCATGGTGTATTGTAGGATTAATGCTGCTTCATGGTGTATTGTAGGATAAAAGCTGCTTCATGGTATATTGTAGGATAAAAACTGCTTCATGGTGTATTGTAGGATTAATGCTGCTTCATGGTGTATTGTAGGATAAAAGCTGCTTCATGGTGTATTGTAGGATAAAAGCTGCTTCATGGTATATTGTAGGATAAAAACTGCTTCATGGTGTATTGTAGGATTAATGCTGCTTCATGGTGTATTGTAGGATAAAAGCTGCTTCATGGTGTATTGTAGGATAAAAGCTGCTTCATGGTGTATTGTAGGATAAAAGCTGCTTCATGGTGTATTGTAGGATAAAAGCTGCTTCATGGTGTATTCTAGGATAAAAGCCGCTTCATGGTGTATTGTAGGATAAAAACTGCTTCATGGTGTATTGTAGGATTAATGCTGCTTCACAGAGTATTGCAGGATAAATGCGGCTTCACGGAGTATTGTACGATAAATGCTGCTTCGTGGATTATTGTCGAACAAATGTGGGTTCATGAATTATTACAGTATTCATACTGTTTCATAGAGTATTACAGGATAAATGCTACTCCATGGTGTATTGTAGGATAAATGCTGCATCATGAAGTTTTACAGGATAAATGCCATTTCATGATGTATAGTATTACTGGATAAATACTGCTCATGGTGTATAGCAGGATAAATGCTGCTTCAATGGTACATTGCAGGCAAATGCTGCTCCATAGTGTTTTGCCGGATAATTGTAATTTTTCGATTAAAAAAGTTTATTACTCTTGTTATTTTTTTGGTTTTAATTGCACTTAATTTTCAAGATTTCCTTATTATTTTTTAAGAAAGATAAGTGAATTAACAGTCATAAATAGCTATTTCTAATGTAGCAGAAATGTTAGTCCAATATCTTAAGTGTGCTTACTGTGAGTTGTTCATGCTTTTGATGTGACCTCGCCACTGTAGCCTGCTGCATGGGTGTAGGGTGCAGGGTAGACAAATGGAAGCTGTGTGCCCCTAGTTCACCTCAGATGTAAACTGCTGTGAACATTGTAAAGAACATTGGGAGGTTCAGCTCCTGGGGCCGGATTCACGAAGTAGTTACGCAAACACTTTATGAACCTGTACATCTTTTCTTAATCTTCGGCGACTTTGTTTACAATTATTAAACTGTTAAGGAGCTTCGAAGCACCAGGAGGCTGTTTATAACAATAACAACCGTTGATTGGGAAGTTTTCATGCTTGTAAACTGTTTAATAAATATAAACAAAGCCATCAAAGATTGAGGAAAGATGTACCCGTTCGTAAGTACTTGCGTAACTGCTTCGTGAATCTGGCCCCTGAACTCTTCCTGTGATATTGTAACCTTTCTGCCCCCACCCACAGGATGGGGTATGGGATCCATGATAAAGTAGTTCAGATAAACAGCATTTATTATTATTCACTGCTGACTTGAAGAGAAGACAGTACTGTACATGAAAGATGTCTCACTAATGCTTTTGTTAATATTTCCAGTACCACTCTTGGCAGTGTTTCCAACTCTCCTTCGGCATGCTTTGTTGCCTCTGATGGAGAGTGCTTGCGTGTTTATCAAGCTGTGATTGATGGCCGAGCACTTTTGGCAGAAATATCTACAGCCGAGCGAAAGAAACGTATGATGGAGTCTACCTTAAGTCTCTCGACTGATAGCTCACTACAAGAACAGGCAGGACAAGTGGTCAGTGGCTTTTTATCATATGCTTTAAAAAAAATTTAATTGGATATCTCTGTTTTCATGTTATCTGCACACTTATTCTCATGTGAAGTAAGAATTTTAAGTTAACTAGAATACATTGGAACTTCGATTCAGTGAACAAGTTTCGGCAAATATCTGTTTACTACACAAACCTTCCAGGCTGTATTTACTAAGCTGATTAGATGAATAATAATTCAGCAACGTGGGGGATGTGCAGATTTGCCTAGGGTGTTGGGCCAAAGTTCACAGACTGGAGGGAAAGTTGCTAATCACATGATAGGTTGAAATTAAAATTCCTCTCGGTGAAACTAGAAAATAGAACATGGGAAATATTAGGGCACGAGTGGTAAATTTTTTAATATGGCTCCAATCACACTTTCAAAAAATTTTCAAAGATGGACAGAACATCACAGAAAGTTGGAATCTTGGGAAAGCTATTGAGAATATTTAAAACCAAATCCTACTGTACATTTTCATTTCCAGTTGCAGTGGTTTTTGTTCACTATAATATGGGACGTTCTTACTTTAAAAATGAATCTTCAAAGCTGGGGCATGGGAAATATGCTGAATGTGGTGAAATCTCTTTACATACAGGTTCTCATGGTAGATATCCTTCATATGATGGGTTGAAATGAAAATTTTACTTATTGAAATTAACCCATAGAGTACAGGCAATATTTGGGTATGAATAGTAACTCTTAATATAGCTCCAAATTACATTTTTAATAATTTTTGTAGATAGGTGCAATATTAGAATAAAGTAACATCTAAAACAATGTATTTTTATTGGCTTTAAAAGATAATTGCATATCACAAATGGCTCCACAAAGCATCTCCGGTTGCAACAAATCCCTCGCTCCAATGAATCCAAGTTGGTCCCATATGGTTTGCCGAATCGAGGTTGCCCTTGTGTACTGCATTTTATTTATAGTTTCACTGGGTGGAGGTGCTCTGAAAGGTTGCATGGTGGCTGTGTGAGACTTCTGTCAACATCCAGTGCCTGACTTTGCTGACACTTCCTGTGGTATCCTCACATGTTTTACTAATTGATTATCACTTTTTCTCTTCATTTACAAGTGTGTGTGTGTTTGTTGAATAGCTTGATAAATCACATAATTCACATAACACAATAATGTTTCAAATGATGACTGGTTTACCTGGTATACTTCATTACAGCCAGTATAGAGTGGTGAAAAAGATATGAATATAATATACAGGGGTACCTAGGTTTAGGAGTTAAATCCGTTCCTGAAGATATCTCATAATAAGAAAACTCGTAAACCGAAGTTAATTTCCCCATAAGAAATAATGGAAAATGAATTAATCCGTTCCTAACTACCCAAAAACCTCACTTCAAACTAAATTTTATACCCAATTTATCTAAATCTACACTACAAAAGTATGTTCAAGTTATTACTTACCCCTTGCTGATGACTGCTGTTGGTGTATGGAAGATGGTGAGGAAGGGGGGAGAAGGAGAGGTGTTACTGTTTGGAAGGGGAGTCCCCTTCCATTATAACATCATGCAGTGAGGATCTCTCTTTAAAGTGCATTTTCTGGCACGTTATGTCTGCATACCACTAGGTCCTGGTTGTGGCTCACTGCTCGATTTTCTCACAACAAAGCGGTCCATTGAAGATTGTTTTCCCCTTCTTCGCAAGATTTCTCTGTAGTGAGGCATCACATTGTCATTAAAAAGATTTATGCACCGGCCTACTACAGCTTTCTCTGGGTGAGTCGTTTCAATAAAAGTTTGCATTTCTTCCCACATCTGACACCACTTCTTAATGGTTGCAGAAGGGACATTCGCTGCTGCCTCATCCTCCTCCACTAGAGAAACGTCCTCAGTTGTGTCTTCTTGCTGTTCCTTTTGAAGGGCTTGGAGTTCTTTGGTGGTCAGTTCTTCGTTGTGTTCTTCCACCAACTCCTCCACATCAGCACCATCTAATTCCAAGCCCATTTGCCGGCCCAGAATAACAATTTCCTCAACAATAGGCACATCATTTACAGGCTCAAACCCCTCAAAGTCGTTCTGTCACACATTCAGGCCACAATTTTCTCCAGCCAGAGATCAGGGTTCTTTGAGTCACTTCTTGCCAGGCTTTGTCAACAAGTTTTAAAGCACTACAAATGTTAAAATGGTGTTTCCAGAACTCCTTGAGGGTGAGGTTTGTGGCTTCAGTCACTTTAAAACATTTCCGGAAAAGTACCCTTTCATAAAGTTTCTTAAAATTCGCTATGATTTTCTGGTCCATAGGCTGAATTAGAGGAGTGGTGTTAGGAGGAAGGAACTTTACTGTGAGAAAATTACTGTATCTGTGCAACAATTCATCTTCCAAGCCTGGAGGATGAGCAGGAGCATTGTTGAGGAGAAGCAGGGTTTTGAGTGGCAAATGTTTCCTCCTGCAGATATTTTTCTATGGCAGGGCACACCACTTTGTTCACCCACTCCGAAAAAAATCCTAGTCATCCATGCCTTACTATTAGCCCTCCACATCACACAGATTTGGGATTTCTGCACTTTATACTGTTTGAAAACCCTTGGATTTTCAGAATGATACACAAGCAAGAGTTTAATTTTCAAATTGCCACTCGCATTTGAACACAGCACAAACGTAAACCTATCTTTCATAGGCTTGTGTCCGGGCAATGATTTTTCCTCCTTGGTAATGTATGTCCTCTTAGGCAATCTTTTCCAGAACAGTCCTGTCTCATCACAATTAAACACCTGTTGCAGTAGGTATCCATCAGCCGCTGCAAACTCTTTAAATTCTTCAATAAATCTTTCAGCCACTGGTTTGTCTGAGCTGGTAGCCTCCCCATGCCTCACAACACTATGAATACTGCTTCTTTTTCTAAATTTCTCAAACCACCCCCTGCTTGCCTTAAAGTTTATCATATCTGCACTCGTTCCAGGGGTTTTCTTACATGGTCTTCGTGCAATACCCTGGCTTTCTCACAAATGATGGCCTCTGAAACACTACCACCCTTTAACTCCTTGTCGTATATCCAAATTAATAATTGCCGGAACAACCGTGGACATCTTCAAGAGGAAACTAGATTGTTTCCTCCAAGGAGTGCCGGACCAACCGGGCTGTGGTGGGTATGTGGGCCTGCGGGCCGCTCCAAGCAACAGCCTGGTGGACCAAACTCTCACAAGTCAACCTGGCCTCGGGCCGGGCTTGGGGAGTAGAAGAACTCCCAGAACCCCATCAACCAGGTATCAACCAGGTTACCGTGAAATGATAGCAGGATTTCTGTTCATGGGTCAAGATAAACTCCATACATCCACATAGAGCTATAATATACTTATTTGCATCATACATGTAAAACCCAGACAATAATTGTTCAAATCGTCATATGACAATAACTGCATTACTCCCATGAATCAACATACAGTATGATGATAACCGCTGTCTAGGGGTTAAATTATGTTCATCTTATATGGCGAAAAATGTGGTACGTAATTCATTTATGTTAAAACGAATCGGATTTCTTCACCACTGAATTATCCTGATTCATTAGGTTAATTCACAGTAGAATAATCTTGTTCATCACAGTTAATTCACCCTCTATAAGCTTGCATATCTTTCCAAAAGAAGCTTTCTTTGTCATGTACAGTAGCTACTATTTTCCTGACAGTACCTTTTCCATCCCATCTTCAATATTTTGCTGTTTTCTTCTCAGAGTGTGTGACTTTCCATTGATGATTTCTAGAGTGATTTAAAAGACATTTTAAACAAATATTCACGTAAGACTGGTTGGTTTTCTGCCACATCAAGATGCATTCTCATGGAACAGGCAGAACAAATCCATCTCTTGCCATAAAAGGCCAGATTGTTGTGGTCTACTCTTGCCTTGACCACTTGAACAATATTCCATGTACTGACTAAAATGGGCAACATTGCTAATAATCTAAACAAAATTGCCTGTCATTATATATATCTCAATGAAAAAGGAAATAAAATTTATTAATGGTTTTGAGCATGATCTACAGGCTCCTCTCTTCTTTGAACAGGAGTGTGCCAATATTGTTGCATTGATCTGGGAGTCAAATGTTTGAGATAGGAAAGGTTCTGCATATTTTACCTCACTGGTCACTTTGCCTGTTAAGTTACTGACACCTAAATGACTATCCTCCTCTAATTGTGGGATCTAAGATACTGCAGTCTTGTTTTCAGTCCTGCATTGTGGCTTGTAGAGCTTGAAACCGTTGCTCCTTGTTTGTGTTACATCTGACCTTTTGAAGAATGTTGAAGGATCAGCATTCTCCAAATTGTTCAGTATTTTAAGTTTTGAGGAAATCAGCCCTGTCATGTCTAGTTTCCAGTAATGTTAGCCCTGTAACCCTCAATCGTTTCTCGTAAGAGTTGATCAGAGTTCTCTGCTTTCTCCTTTCTGTTGGCAGAACTCTCTTCTTCGGGACCGGGCCGCGGGGACACTAAAAGCCCCGAAATCATTCTCAGATAACCTCAAGATAACCTTCATTGCAGATGAGTCATCTGAGCTCAACAGTAGATACTAAACTGCTAGCTTGCTCTCATAGCATCTTCAATGAAAACTGAAGAGTGAACCATAAAATTACAAAAATATCTTCTGGAATACCACCTTGAACAATATATCCCATTACATGATAGTTATCAAACAGTATGATGAACTCAGAAAGGGTCAAAAGTACTGTACAGTATTAATATCATTGGTTTTATTTAATGTAGCTTTTTCAACTTTCGTTAGATGTTTTACACAGTTCGAGAAGGGGTTCAGTGTGACACAGATATGATCATCAATGCTGGGAACACCAGTACACTATGTCCTAACATTTATTGGTGACCCTGTACACTCGTGCAAGGATGTTGAGTCCTGAGACGGTGCTTTAAACATAACCACATGTCTGCCTGATGTCATGTGCAAGAGGTTTATAACTTGTAAAAGCACCTCATTACAAATATTTTTGAAAATGGGATCTGTACTGTATTAAGTATATCATGTCTTAGATTATAGCTGTTGTGTTATGCTATTTCCCTTTCATTATGGAAAAATATTATGTATGTGAGTTGGTAATTTGTGGGAGAAAGCTATAAATACTTTTTAATTTCATCTTCAGAACCTGGCTGATATCTTTGATATAGTCTCAGAGCAATCGACTGCCCGTCCTGGATGTGTTATTGAGCTGGATGCTATTGGAGATGCAACAAACGACTGGCAAAATACTCAGTTCCTCCATGTCTTCCAAGAGGGCCTTATCCGGGGAGAACGTGGATCGACTGTAGGTAAGGAAACGTGCGCTCTACTGCTGAGCAAACAGATTCTTTTGAATTTTGGTTTGTGTGTGTGTGTATAATTACCTAAGTGTAGTTATAGGATGAGAGCTATGGTCGTGGTGTCCCGTCTACCCAGCACTCTTTGTCATATAATGTTTTAAAGCTACTGACGGTTTTGGCCTACACCACCTTCTCACTTAACTTGTTCCAACTGTCTACCACTCTGTTTGGGAAAGTGAATTTTCTTATACATGTATTTCTTTGGCATCTTTATTTAGTTTGTTTCAATCTATGACCTCTTGTTCTTGAAGTTCCAGGTCTCAAGAAATCTTCCCTATCGATTTTATCAATTCCTGTTACTATTTTGTACGTAGTGATCATAACACCTCTTTTTCTTCTGTCATCTAGTTTTGGCATATTTAATGCCTCTAACCTCTCCTCGTAGCTCTTGCCCTTCAGTTCTGGGAGCCACTTAGTATCATGTCTTTGCACCTTTTCCAGTTTGTTGATGTGCTTCTTAAGATATGAGCACCACACAACAGCTGCATATTCTAGCTTTGGCCTAACAAAAGTCGTGAACAGTTTCTTTAGTATTTTGCCATCCATGTATTTAAAAGCAATTCTGAAGTTAGTTTCAGGAGATAGTTTTCTATCTAGAACCACCCCTAGATCTCTTTCTTTATCAGAATTCCTTAATTATTTCTCACGTAATTTATAGGTTGTGTGGGGTCTATGTTCACCTATTCCACATTCCATAACATGGCATTTATTCACATTAAATTCCATTTGCCAAGTGGTGCTCCATATACTTATTTTGTCCAGGTCTTCTTGAAGGGCATGACAATCATCTAGGTTTCTTATCCTTCCTATTATCTTAGCATCATCAGCAAACATGCTCATATAATTCTTCATTCCAACTGGTAGATCATTTATGTAGACAATGAACATTACCGGTGCAAGAACTGGACCCTGTGGTACTCCACTTGTGACATTTCTCCAGTCCGATACATTGCCTCTGATTACTGCCCTCATTTTTCTATCAGAAAATTTTTCATCCATGTTAGAAGCTTACCTGTCACCCCTCCAATATTTTCCAGTTTCCAGAACAATGTCTTATGTGGAACTCTGTCAAAAGCCTTTTTTAGGTCCAGATAGATGCAGTCAACCCAACCATCTCTTTCCTGTAACATCTCTGTGGCTCTATCATAGAAACTGAGTAAATTCGATACACAGGATCTTCCAGATCAGAAACCATACTTTCTGTCTGATATTATATTATTTCTCTCCAGATGTTCTACCCATTTAGTTTTTATTATTTTTCCAATATTTTGACTATTTGTGAATGATACAGGTCTATAATTGAGGGGGTCTTCCCTGCTGCCACTTTTTTAGATTGGAATCATGTTAGCATTTTTCCACACATCTGCTACGACTTCTGTACACAGGGATGTCTGAAAAATCAGCCGAAGTGGTATGCTGAGCTCAACTGCACATTCTCTCAGAACCCATGGTGAAACTCCATTTGAGCCAACTGCTTTGTTCTTACTTAGCTCCAAGAGCATTTGTTTCACTTCGTCTCTAGACACCTCCATGTGCTCTATGTTGTTCTCTGGAATTCTTATTGCGTCTGGTTCCCTGAAGATCTCATTTTGTACAAACACACTTTGGAACTTTTCGTTTTAATGTTTCACACATTTCCTTTTCCTTTTCCGTGTATCTGTCCCCCATTTTCAACCTCTGAATATTATCCTTTACCTGCTGCTTGCTTTTAATGAATTTATAGAAAAGGCCTGGATCTGATTTACATTTGTCTGCTATACCATTCTCAAAGTTCCTCTCAGCCTCTCTCCTTACTGACATGTAGTTGTTTCTTGCATCTTTGTATCGTTGATATGATACATCGCTGATATGATGTGTGTGTGTGTGTGTAGTTTTGCTTTTATCTGACTGCAAGTGCATGCAACATCACCACTTTACATTGGTTAACAACTTTAACAAATGCCAATTGAAGTCTTGCAACTGCAAGAGCAAGCATACAGATCAAGAGTGCGCTTAGATGAGCCAGGGTCCACTCAGTGTGGAGGTCTTCGTCAACAGGCTTTACCTGGTTCCAATTCACTTCGGTTGCGAGAGTCGGCTTCAGTGCAACAAGAGCACGTTAATGGACTTCTCAATGGGTCCTCATCAAAAGTTGTAATTTATGTCTGTAGGCTTTTAGTGTGTTAGAACTTTAGAGCAAGTACTAGTGCTGAAGGCAGCTATGTGAGTGACAGTATGTAATGAGGGGTTTTCAAAAATAAGATCGTAACCTTAACATTTATCCACCAACCTTATGTGCTACTACATAGGGTGTTTACGTTCCTATAGATTGGTGGTGTCAAAGCTAATATCGCATCAGAGACACTGGGACACCTCAACTGACCCAATCATGTGGCTCATCCATGGACAATTCTATGTTAACACTTTCTTAGACAACCAGTCACTAACATAGCCATCCTAACATTGCTGATTACAAGGGAAATGCAAGAGTTCCAAGCTGGATAATTGGGTAATCAATATAATGGTATGCACAAGCAACATGATAATATCCTGTCAAGTGGTGAATAAAATATGCAAATATATCCAATTGTGTCGTGTGTGTTAGATACACTGTCATTCTGGCAAGCGGAACAGTTGTGAATAATATGCTTGATGATGATGAGAGTAGTGAGAGGAGAAGAAAGGCAGAATTGGAAAGGATTGGGTGATAGTATGAAGGAGTGTGTGGAGTGCCTGGATATATGTACACTTTCTAACCTGCTATTGGGGTGTGGATTATTATTACATAAACTGTTTATTTAGGTGGTCAGGAGTCACCGAGCACATTTCCAACGCACGCCCCGATGGTGGACCTTCACTCGACTGCCAAGTTTGAAGAGCCCTTCTACATCACTCTCCTGGAGAAAACTACTCATGGCTCGGTGTGTTAAGGATACGTATTTTATTCATAATTGTTTGGTGAATGAACATTTTTAAGGTTCATACTAGTATATTGTAAAGTAAATTGATCGAATTTAATCAGTTGAGAATGAACTTAAGACATTCATGGTAAAATATTGTATTTGTGTACGTAGGTAATGCATGTGTGGCGGCTGGTTATTGCGTCAGAGCATCACGCTCACGAGGTCTGTGAGGATGATGAAGGCCACGCGTCTGGCCGTAGTACTCCAGTGATTGATAATTTAGCGGGAGGCATTGACGCCTCTCCTATTGTCATCACCACCACAAAGGTCAGTATATACCATATACAGATTTTGTTTGTGTAATGAGAAGCAACCAATTTCAGTATCATATTGTAACATCATGCAGTTTACATATTCCTTATTACAGGATATTTTGTTGTGGGGAAAGCAATAGGATACTAAAATGGCTCGACCAATTCTATTCGTCGGCATTCTTATATCCATCGCTGTAGCACATAATCTATTATAAATACACTTTTGTTTTTGCATCTGTTCTCTAGAGAATTCAAATTTATAGTTATACAGTATTCGACAATAATTTAGAAAACATAAAATGAAGGTAAACATTTTTCACATCACTGAGTTGACTATGCTTGGCCTGGTAGCCAGACTGCCAAAGTGTCAATAACCCAATAAAAATGTTAATAACACATAAAAAGAAAAGAATGTGGCAATCTTTCGGCCAATTCTGGACCCTTATCATGTCATGTGGTTTCATAACACGACTTGATCAGGGTCCAGGATGGATTGAAACGTTGTCGCTTGAAACGAGAGCTAGAGACTTTTTACTTAGATTTTCATGCTTCCTGGGTGCTAATTAAAAAATCAAAAGAAAAACAATGTTTTTGGAACAATATACTTTTGGCGCACTACAGTAATGTCATTTTAAAAAATGTGCAGTGAAGGGGTTAACCTTTAATTTTCATGTATGGGAGTTGAATTATTAACTTTCAGCCAAGATGTTGTAACTTATTCTGTACATCTATTTTATATTATTGTGTTTCAGATTTGTGCAAATCCTCTGCCACTTCCTCCTGGAGTACAAGTGATCCATGCAGCTCCAGCTGCCGGCCACTTGAGCTCTGCGTCTATATATCCTGCGTGCTATGCTCCTTATGTACTGGTGACGGCATGCTCTGATAACACTGTCCGCTTTTGGAGGTGCCGCATGTCTGGAGAGGGGGAAGACTTCCAAATCCAATGGCAAGAGTGGCATATGATTAGTAAAGATGGAAAGAGTGCCATTAAGGTGCCAGGTAAGAGAGAGAAAATGTAATGGAATATTGAATATACAGATAAAAATATTTCTATATGAACAAACCAGCATTGTCCAAATATTTTACAGCACTGTATAGTAATTTTTCATAATTTTGATAATATTGATGACACCTGTCCATTCAACAAGTCTTCTCCACACCCCCAGCATCATGAACGATAAGCATCACCATACTATAACAACTCGCAGCTAGCAGTTCTTCAGCATTTCATAAGATTAAATATGTAGTAATCATTATGAGCCAACAATAATTTTTGCCCGGTTCCCTTACTTCTTAAGGACTGTTTATACACTGTGCAAACTTCCTGATACACATTTTCTCCACATTTCTCCTCCATGCGCTTCCTTTCCTCCTTGACATTGATTTCCTTCTGTCCTGATATTCATATGAATCTTCTCTCTGCTAGTTTATTATCATATTTCATTCATCTTGGCTCCGCTAAATTAATGTATAGAGTATGACACACTACATCTTTCAATTAAATTTTGATTCCTTCTTTACTCTCCACATACCACATATGCCTCTGACACTGTCCATTTTTATTGTATAATGTAGAGAACAATTATTATGTATTTTAGAAAGATGTCCTCCACTGAAAAATCTGTAATCTTTTTTGTTTTGGGAAGGGCCCCCAGGTGGCTCTGTGATACTTGCAGCTAGTATTACGGAGCCACCAAGAGGCTTTCCAGAAAGAGACATTTCTTTATTCAGTGCTGGAGTTTAGTACAATACTCTTTCATGCATTCCAAGTGAGTGCCTACCCATACCATATACATGTGGGGAAACAAGGTTAATTGTATTATACACACAGGTTATTAATACAAAATAAAGAGAATGTGAGCTTATTACTGACAGCTTGCATCTGGTGGACAGGGTTTGGGCTAACAAATATTTCAGCTGTTTGTATGTAGTCGTGTCATGTACAGGACAACACAGTTTGGCTGTCTCCTTTGTTTTGAATTGTGACGTTCTCCCGGCGTTACTGTGCACATTTTGCCGGATCTGTTACGTGATATACAGTACAGTATTTATGTTGCTGTTGCATTTTGGGGGGGGAAAGGTGTTTATTACCCTGGAAGCATCAATCACACTGACATACCATATATTGCTCAATGTCACCAGTGCTCAGTGTCACCGAGTGTTTAGTTTTACCCAGTGCTCAGTGTCACCGAGTGTTTAGTTTTACCCAGTGCTCAGTGTCACCGAGTGTTTAGTTTTACCCAGTGCTCAGTGTCACCGAGTGTTTAGTTTTACCCAGTGCTCAGTGTCACCGAGTGTTTAGTTTTACCCAGTGCTCAGTGTCACCCAGTGTTTAGTTTTACCCAGTGCTCAGTGTTGCCCAGTGTTTAGTTTTACCCAGTGCTCAGTGTTGCCCAGTGTTTAGTTTTACCCAGTGCTCAGTGTTGCCCAGTGTTTAGTTTTACCCAGTGCTCAGTGTCACCCAGTGTTTAGTTTTACCCAGTGCTCAGTGTTGCCCAGTGTTTAGTTTTACCCAGTGCTCAGTGTTGCCCAGTGTTTAGTTTTACCCAGTGCTCAGTGTCACCCAGTGTTTAGTTTTACCCAGTGCTCAGTGTTGCCCAGTGTTTAGTTTTACCCAGTGCTCAGTGTTGCCCAGTGTTTAGTTTTACCCAGTGCTCAGTGTTGCCCAGTGTTTAGTTTTACCCAGTGCTCAGTGTCACCCAGTGTTTAGTTTTACCCAGTGCTCAGTGTTGCCCAGTGTTTAGTTTTACCCAGTGCTCAGTGTCACCCAGTGTTTAGTTTTACCCAGTGCTCAGTGTCACCCAGTGTTTAGTTTTACCCAGTGCTCAGTGTCACCCAGTGTTTAGTTTTACCCAGTGCTCAGTGTCGCCCAGTGTTTAGTTTTACCAAGTGCTCAGTGTTGCCCAGTGTTTAGTTTTACCCAGTGCTCAGTGTCACCGAGTGTTTAGTTTTACCCAGTGCTCAATGCCACCTAGTGTTCAATGCTCTCAACATTTGGTACCCTTAAGTGCTCAGTTTTACTAGCACAAAGTATGGTGGTATGAGGTCCCCAAGAATCACCACCACCTCAATCTCTGTAGGGATTTACATATTTTTCCACGAACATTAAGGAATAAAAAAAAAGTTGAAAAAATTAATTGCATTTTATTTTAGGATTTCTATTTGAGTGAATATGTAATATTATTTAACATATCTTTCCTAGGTCAACCACTTCATGTGAGTGCAGCGTACAGTGGCAGGATTGCCTGTGCTTACCAGACTCCAAGAAAACAGGCTGTATTTTCTGCTGGAATGGATGGCAGCATCCAGTTCTCATGCTCATTAGCTATCTATGAATGTGAATCCACAGGAGGTAAGAACGGGCCCCTTTGTTGCCCGCATACTATCACCATCATACTATGAACTCTTAAATACTGTAGCTTGGTTAATGAAAAGTCAGACATTGTGGTGCGCATAACAAAAAGTTGTTCATAAAACTAATGTACAAAAAAATGCATACGGGTTATTCAAGCACAGAAGGTAATCACAGATAGCAATTGGAGCCATTTAAAGGTTTAACCCTTGCATTGTGCAAGGTTTGCCTTTAATATTATCTGTATTAAACCCAAATGTCTTAGGGTTTCGTGGTCACGGTGGGGTTTTGCTCGGGTGGCTTCGGGGGCTGCCCCTTCCGATTCGGGCGCAGAGGTAGTCGAGTCCGATTTTTCCACCGAGGCTTCTGGGTCAACCCAGCAGGCTTCCTTCTTGGAAGCCTTTCCTCTGGATACCACCTTTTCTTCGGGTGGTGGGCATGGAAATGGGTTCTGCCCCGGGGCCATTGGTCGGGGGGGTTCCCAGGGCTCAGGTGGGAGTCCGCTTGGAGTGCTTGGGCTCCTTTTGCATTCTGGGCAGGTATTGTTGTTGCAGAGGAGGTGGTTTTTGTCCCCTCCTTCTCTTTCTGAATTCATATTACTGTATTTGCCGACATGATTTATGCACCCCTCGTGTTGGGTGCATCCATCTTTTGCTTGGATGTTTTATCCTGGGGGGGGGGGAATATATTTTTATATAATGTACTGTATATTAATATAATGACTTTTTCGTTTGGTTCATCATACATTTATTGCAAGTTATTTTCTAGTGCTTTTGGTGCCCCTGCTTTTCCCTCCTCTCAGATCAGGAATTTTGTAGTTTATATTTTCGGCAAGAATTTTGCTATACAGTATGAGTTGCTGCGACTGACTGCCAGGGTCGTGGTGCACCATCCCACAGCTGTGGTTTGTTGTTACCCACTCTTTGCACATGGCGGCTGGGCAGTTGAAAGTTGATCATTCTTTTCCCGCTTTTTGGGGAGTTTTTTTATTTACTTAATGTGCTGTCGGTGACTCAGTTGTTCGCCTTTGTGTGACATGTGTCAGGTGTGGATTATGTTTGCTATGGAGGTACGTGAATTGGTGTGTGCTTCCCTCTTCCCTTCCGATTCCCTCATCCCATTCCTACTCTTCTAGTTGTGCTTGCGGGACTTTCACTTCAGCTCTTTGGGACTGCCTTTCACCCGTCATTCTACTGGTGTGCCCATTCCTGAGTTTCTTGATCTCCAGCATTTCTATGTTTGCAGCCTCCATCTCATCACTGCCTCCTGCATCCCCTTTCCTAACTATTGTACTCTGCCTCTGGACAAATTCTTTTTAATGTCTGTAGATCTTTTGGGTACTCGGTTACCATCTGTGTCCCATTATGGGCGTATCAATCATATTGATTTATCCATCTTTTTCTATGCTGTCCATTCCCCTGAGGACTTGTGGGTGGTGGCCAGATCTGCTGGTCTTGTGTTCCCAGGGCTGTCTTGTCTTGTGTACGAGACTGGTATTTCTGTGTATTATCATCTCAGTCTTGTGTTCACAGACTATGGGCAATGGCTTGTTTTCATTCTTTTATTATAGGCACTGATTTTGTGCCTAGCTACCTTGCCCTGTATACTCGTCCGGCTCCCAAGTCTACTGCCCTTGGTGTCCTGTCTGTATTACAGCCGTTTTTAGCTGTGGGGCTCATTTTAATAAAAATTTTTTTTTTAACATCGTGCATCTTATCCGCCGGCAAATGCAGTAGTAGAGTTTGGTTCCTCTTACTCTGATTGGGTGCAGTTTGAGGTTCAGGTGTCTTCCTGGCTTGCAGCCTGCCTCAATGATTGGTTGGTGTTTTCTTCCCTTCAGCTGTTTTTGAGGGAAGGACCTGGGTCCCTCGGCGGTTACACAAGCAGCTGTGTGGGAGCCTGAACTCTGTCCTGCTGGTTTATACATTCTGGGTGGAAAAATTTACAACTTTTGGAATATTTACCTGCAAAATGAATATTTTTACACTTTGGCGATTACATTTGCATGTTTCATTCATTATTCCTGATATTCCATATACCCTGTTTATAATATCGACAAGTTTTGGGTGTGTGTTTTCTCATGGCCCGTCAGTACTAGACCCGTCTGAATTTGGCCCGTCTGTACTGGGCCCATCTCTACTGGGCCCCATCTGTACTGGGCCCCATCTGTACTGGGTCAAACTATGTTGAGCCACAGATTCACCATGTGCAGCACTGTGACACAGTGCTTCATCACGACACAGCACTGAAGGCACAGTTACTGCTCTAAAGGGCAGAGCAGATCAATTGAAGGAGAGATTATCACTTTACTGACAGACTATTTTACATCTTGAGTTACCGTAAATAATGATGTATCTTATGGTACATTTGTGAGTGTTCAATAGAATTGTCAGTATATACAGTAAATGAATTGGTAGAGTTTGTGATGCTATATATAAGGTTAGAGCAGTATGTTGCTGAGCAATATGCTGCTGAACCATATGTTGTTGAGCCATATGCTGCTGAGCAATATGTTGCTGAGCCATATGTTGTTGAGCCATATATTGTTGAGCAATATGCTGCTGAGCAATATGTTGCTGAGCCATATGTTGTTGAGCCATATGTTGTTGAGCAATATGCTGCTGAGCCATATGTTGCTGAGTAATATGTTGTTGAGCATTATGCTGCTGTTGGCTCGGCATCATATGGCAATATGTTGCCGAGGAATGTAATTAGTAGTGACTTAGTTAGGTAAGTAAAGATTGGGTTATCTAAATAAATGATTTACGTGTCAAGCATCACAAGATATTAGATGCATGCAAAACTACATAGACATGTTATATTTTCAGGGTCACTGTGGGTGCTAGAAGATAAATTTGACCTCCAAGATGTGGTCACCAACCCTGGAGAATCTAGCATGGCTGACCTTGATCTTGCTTACCTCTCCAAAGTTGCTCAGGGACGATCAACAACCAGGCTGACATCCGCTCTGAGTACTGAGGACCTGTCGGAGCCCTGCCCATCTTCACCCGTGTTCTCGGTTGACGCGATACATTCTGTGTCTAGTAAGCATTGGTATGCCTGGAGTGTGTTTCGGGAGTTCTTCTACTCCCCCGAACCCGGGCAGGTGCTATTGTTTACAATGTCTACTGTAAACTAGCAGTTATGCTTGTATTTACAAATACTGTAGGTGTTATATAATTATAGTATTGGTCTTGAACAGAAGTGGCTTGTATAATATGGGATCCTGTAGTATAGTGGTTACATTTTCAACTCATATTTGGGGATCCCTGGTCAGAACAGAAATAGTTGTGCACATTTCTTTTTTCCTAATGCCTCTGTTCACCCCTAGCTGTAAATAGGTGCCCGGGAGTTAGGTAACTGTTGGTGGGTTGCATCCTGGGAAAGGTCAGTAGTTTGACCTTGGGCAGGGGGGGGGGGACCTCGATATAAGCCTAATGTATAAACATGCGCTGGCTGCATGTCCTTGCTAAAATGAATTATTATATACACAGATAAACCCATACATATATTATATACATGGGTTTCTGTTCAAATGTCAAGATTTATTTTTTTCTTTGATATAAATCACTTTAAGTGTTCAAAGCTTGTGTAATGTAAAAGTATTGTACTGTATTTACTGTCATATAAGATGCACCTTATGTATGAGAATATTTTGAAGAAAACCAGGTTTTAGTACGTTTCATCATCAATTAAAAATTATTCAAATGGTTTTGTAGGAGGAAAATGATTTTGTGCATGTAAATACAATACCAGTATATATATATTTGATTGGTGGTGGACCAAAAACATGTGTTCTATCCACTGGCAAATACATTACTGAAGACTATGAACAAAAGAAAACTGTAAATACTTGTGCTATGTGGAAAGATCTGCCTTAATTTTGTTACTCTTGAAATATATTATTGATAAAAAAATCTATACAGGATAGGCAATTTTGTAATTGATAAGGTGATGGAAATGTTCATTTTTGTATAAGTCTCAAGTTTCATGTATTTTATAAACATGAGTTATTAGGAAAGGAAATACTCCATGATATAACAAAAACACAATGAAATTGTGAAGTAATATTGAGGCTATACGGCAGAAATAGAAATATTGATTAGTGATACAATGTCCACTGCATCAGGTCAACTGTTGGTGCCAAGTCCCAGCACGCTGCACTCAATTCGTAACCAACGTTTTGACAAGAGAGGTGTTAGTGTGAAGCAGAAGCATCCCGTCCAGATTGACTGGGTCTCTCAAGAGGACGGCTCTCACCTTTTGACAGTTGCAATTGGCAGTAAGGTAGGTAGATGTGGTTCTCTTTTCTAAGCAAACTACATTGGTGCAGTATCTCCTCTAGTCTGTGGCGTGTATCACTCTCAAACACAGTGGTTGCATTAGGTGTTGGATGACTTCATGCCCTTCAGAAACTAGGGCTTGTGGAGTTCTTTTCACCACAACAGGGCATGAACTTGCAAGGATCAAAGATCCATCACATAACAAAGACAAACTACTCTAGCACATAGAAATGTCTCAAAGCACACAAGCTATCCCCAAAAGAAGTTTGGCATCACTAGGATGCCCTAGTGCTCTTGTGCCCTAGCACACACACCTCACCTCCCTCCCTGCTTTCATCCTGGAATGGCTCTGTTCTTAATCACTATCCATCTTGGAGTAAGTGAAGAGTGTTTATAAAGGCTGTAACAAATACTGGTATTGCTGATGAAAAATAACCAGAACGGGTACACGTGTTGGACATGAAGGGAGGCCACAGTGGTCATGAAGAGTAGACACGACAACAATGGGCCTACCGCATAGGAGAAGGTGCCATGATGCCACATAGGCCATCACAGAAAATGGGATGACATTGGCGCACATTTTAAAACATGTCCCATAATGATCGGAAACAAAATTGGAATTTTAACAAATATTTAAATTTTGGACACAAAATGCGTTGCTGCCGGACATCCGTAAAGTTATTTATAGATGCATTATCTGTCCCCAATGACTGAAAGTGTTAATGACTCTACCACGATCAATAGTAATTCAGAATCATAGTCACTACACAGGAACTTGAGAGTAACACGGCTGACTGCCTCTAGAAATTTCACAACGTATAATTCAAGAACCACAGAATACACCACCTTTATAATTAAACTCATCAAGGTGTCTGAGTATTAAGTTAGTAGAGAGGATGGGGGTTGTGGCTGACAGTTGAGACCCCCCCCCTGGCCTAGGGGGGGGGGTAATTACACCTAGGTAATTACTTCTGAAGGTGTAACTTCGCTACTGTCGAGGGCTGACAACCTGGCGCCACCAACATCCTGTGTGAACTAATTCTACTTGTATTAGTGAAATATTAAATATAACCATTTATGGTGTTACATCTCCCCCACTTCCCTTAATAAAGTTTTTTTTACAACACTGCTAATTAATAGATTGAGCAGTGTGCAAAAACTTTATTCCTAAAAAAAAAAACACATCCTAGCTAAACAAGTATACATCATCCAACTCTAGTAATCGTAGGACCTCCTCAACCTTGGAAGTGTACATTGCCTAATAAAGGTTTGGCTAGGTGGTGCAACATACCTTGACCCTCAAACCGCTAGGGGCCCAAATGGAATTCACACCCACAGGCGCAACAAAAAAAAAATTGCAAAAAATTCTTTCGTCTTATAGAAGTGTTCATTTTTGTTCCCTGATCACGGAAAAAATAACAAAAAAATCGTAGGTGGCATATTTTAGTCGCAATAGGGTAGGGAAGTGTGGCAAAAAAGGGGCGTTGGCAGAGCCTTCGCCAGACGAGGTCTACTCCGCCCGAGCTGTCAGACGGCAGTTGCCACAAATATATTATTACCTAATTATTTCAATGTCTCTGATTGATTTTTTCTTAGTTTTTTTGCAGTAATATTATTCCATACAGTGAATTGTGGTATATTTATATTATAAAATGTGTGAACCATCGCTGTACTCAAAATTATGGTGTGCATATTAGTGATTCAATTATTATGTTCATAAAACAATAAACAAATAGTTTTGCTGCTGTTACACTATATACACAGGTTATATATAAGTATTTGCATGTTTTGTACACCATAACGAACTACTAAGTTGGTCTTGTGAGTCAAAAAGCAATGAGGAGTGACCGCCAAACACCAGCGAGCCACTCACTGCCACTCCCTCCCTCAACACGTCCTCACTCACCTCCTACAATTCTCTTTCTGTATTTATTCACTATACACGGACGTTATATATACGTATTTACATGTTTTGTTCACCATAACTGTACATCTAAGCTTGTATGGTGAGTAAAGGCCACAAAGACGTAGCTACTCACACAGTCAGCTGATCGGCGGCCGCCCTCAAGGCCAGACGCACTAATATTTGTCCTTCAACAATATTGTTTGTGGTGTTATTACGCTATATACACATATTATATATAAGTATCTACCTGTTTTATTCACCATACCTGAACAAATAAGCTGGTATGGTGCCCAAAGACCATAGTGGCCATCAGTAAACACCATGCCAAGACGTGCAGACGACGCTCTTCCCTCACCAAAATGGCGGCTCCCAACCTACTCCTCTCGCTGTTATCACACTCTATACACACGTTATATATAAGTATCTACATTTGTGTTCACCATATCGAACCACTAAGCTGGTATGGTGAGTGCAGTCAATAAATGGTGGCCACACACAGTCAGAAGACGACGCCACAACCCTCCCTCGCACAGCCTTACGCCTCCCTCCATGGAGCACAGCGCTAAATATCACCACAATCCTGCTATTATCAGAATCCTGGTCAGTTTTATCACAGTCAGGGGGCTTCAGTAATACTATCACTGCTAAATAATAGCTGTATCATATATATTATGGTATTTGTAGGCGATGCTGTGGTCACAAGCTGAACAGCGGTGCTGTGAGCTCGTGCTGTGTGCGCCAGCCTTGGTGGCTTGCTCAATACTGATGCTGTAACACCCAAGAATGTTGGCCTGGATTTTTTTTCTAGGTGGCATCTGGCAACTATCAGTCGTGGCTGTACTATAGCTGCCCCTATCCCAGGCGGGGAGTTTAAATTATAGCGCTAGACACGAAATCATATATAAATGATGTGCGCGGTTTCGTTTTGTCACTGATATCATTTATATATGATATGCGCGGTTTGAGGGTTAAGGTCTGAGTATAAAACCACTCTTACATAGATACAATCAAATTAGTAAAGTCCTAATGTATGTACATAGACATGGATACATGTTTCAAAGGTCTTAATACAATATGTAAACGAGATAAATCATACACAGGGTCATATAAGTGGGTATTAAATACATCAACCTCGATATTTTACATACCTAATGGTCCAAGTATAAAAGCAGTTACCTAATAAAGGTCCTAATACATTTTCTCTAAACCCGTACATAGACATGGATATATTTTACCCCGGACACAGGTACCTAGGCTTTCAGATTGTTTTGTCGTATCAAAAATGTCCAACTGACACCCCCTTTCAACTGGTAGGAGTGTGGATGGAAGGTGTGTTGATGTTACACAAAACTCGCTTTAACCAGCTTATTCCTTAGAAATTTCTCTTTGACCCATGCCGACATAAGAGGTAAAGGTGGGAAGTTTTGCCATGCCGAATGTTCTCCCCAGGTGGCGTTAAGCCAATCCCATGACTTGGTCAGTTCTCGGCGTAAAGGTCCCACTATTCCCGGAAAATAGAGGAGTGAGAGGATTAACCTCTCATTAGCGTTTCAGGATCTCACTGTATGTAATCATTCTTGCCTGTTCTTACAATCTATTTTTATTTTGGCATCTTGTAGTATATTCTCCAGGTAACCTTTATTTCTGAAATGATTCCATAAAGATTCTTCTGCCTCTTGTAGTTTATCTTCATGTACCAATAGCACTTCCATCCCCCGAGAGCTTAAACTTTTTACCTATGCCTGGTCTCAAGAATTTTACTGCCTATCAGAAATAAATTTAAATATTTTATAAAAATATATATGCAGTATAATCAAGTCATTAATGTCAACATAAGTTTTATAAGTAGTAAACAATTATAAAATGCACAGTAAGATTACAAAAACATGATGTATCTATGAGAAAATATTGAGGCTCTTCGATGGGATCAAACCTGTGTCTCTGGACATCCCCCAGGCTTATCATGGTTCATCTGGTAATGCATGTGCCTGAGGAGTCCAGATATGTAGGTTTGATCCTATCATATGCTCTCAGTATTTCTTGAATTCCAAAATAATGCTGGTTTGTGATTGTTGTCATAAATTTTGGTATAAGAGTGAGAGCATTTCTCTCCATGAGTGGCAGCTCATGTGACCATGGAAGCTAATTTGATAGTAGAATAAACTTAAAAAAAAAATCACAGCTTGTGATACTCATCTTTTCCATAGTAGTGTAAAATTCCATTCCAGATACTTGCCTACACAAGTGTTGCGGATGAAATAGCCATGATGAGCTGCCAGGAACGGAACAAGGACAAGGAGTCTCGACCGCGTCCTGTGCTCCAGAAATCCCTTTCATTGCATGCTCTTTCGGACACCAATTTGCCAAGGCAAGAGTCTTTGCATTGTTATAAACTTTGTGTCAGAATTTCTTTGTAGATCAATGTTTTCATGTTTTTATTATTGATCGGACATATAACAATAAATTTTAACGTCTTACATTGTTAAGTTTTAGAATTTTCAAGCAGTTTCTCAATGGATCTTAAAAGTTGTTAGGGGTTCATTGAAGATAAGCTTTATCCAACTCATAGTAACCAACACAAGATCCTTTCCTGTAAATCCAAATTAATATTAGAGCTCTTCTTTGGAATCAAGCAAAACCACCATATGAGGTTTCTATACAACTATCTACTCATAAATCTAGTACCACAAGCTGGCCATATTTGCAGCACCTCATTCTTAACATACTCCCTGAGCCTGGACTGGTCGAGGGGGCGGTGCATCTACCTTTTCCCCTGATTCAGTTGTTTCTCCGGGTTTTCTCCGGGTTTTTTGGGAGCTGGTCGGCCGAGCGGACAGCACGCCGGACTTGTGATCCTGTGGTCCTGGGTTCGATCCCAGGCGCCGGTGAGAAACAATGGGCAGAGTTTCTTTCACTCTATGCCTCTGTTACCTAGCAGTAAAATAGGTACCTGGGTGGTAGTCAGCTGTCACGGGCTGCTTCCTGGGGGTGGAGGCCTGGTCGAGGACCGGGCCACGGGGACACTAAAGCCCCGAAATCATCTCGAGATAACCTCAAGAAATTGTCCATTCTGAAGTAGTATTTGGGGAGGGTTATTCTTCTGGCTCCTTGGTGACAAGCCTAGCCTTAGTTTGTCACTTCTAGCTCTGTGTTTGAACCAGCCATTTTTCCACGGCTCTGTCTCTTTCAGTAGATCGGTGCGACGCTGTACAGTATTTAACTGGTTTGACCTACTCCTCTGCTCTGCACATCAGGAGTTTTTGATGGGCATCTACTGCCATTTGTATGGTGAGTCGTTTTCTTCGGTTTTGGTTAGGGCTGTCCTGTACTTTTTGGCTTGGTTGATTCTCAATCAGCATCTCATTCCGAAAAATGTCTCCCTTTATCATTTGGCATCAACTCTTCTAGGCACCGTTCTGCATGTTGTATGTTTTCTGTGGGAAGCTCCTTCGACTTCCTGGAGCTATCCGAACTGATATGTACTATATTAGTTTGGGGGTCATAGTCACAGGAATCCTTATGCCTACCAGGGACTACGAGCCAGAATCTGGTCCCCTCAGAAAGGCACAGGGAGCAATGGCCTATGAGCACTTTACATTTAAATTGTCATAATTTGCCATTGACCGGGGAGGGCTCCCAGAAAGGTTTGTGAAACAAAACAGACAACTATCTGGTGAAAATTGCAACCTTCGTCTGAACATAGAAAAAGACCCCCCTCCCCCCCCGGAAAGAAAATAAACAAGCATCACTTCATCCAACTAGCACTTTTGCTCGTTAGTGCTATCCACCCGCCTCCAGAAGGGAGGAGGGAAAAGCCGGCAGCCCACCACTCCAGTTCTTGAGCTGATGTGCTTGGGTTAACTCAGTCACCTCTGGCCTCAAGTTCCTGTTCTGGATTTGCTCTGTGCGGCTGCATCAGCCGTGTGTGTGGTGTGGTAGCCAGGTGTCTTATTGTACGTAGAGCAGCATATGCCTAGTGTGATCTTCGCCAGGTACAGTACTAGCGTAGTCCATAAGTACTACTCTTGTGTTTCAGGGTTATCTTCCCTGGGGCATTCGGGACTAACTCCCATTTGAGGACTTTGTTGCTTGGCATTGTCTTTTCCTTTAGGGTACGTTGGAGGTGTTGGGCTTTTTGTCTTGTCCTGGGGAGGGGGTGTTATTGGCTGGGCGCAGCTTGCAAACACAGCAGCAGATTATTCTCTCTACCAGTTTGTTTGCTGTGTGTCTTCTGTGGTTTTGTTTTTGTTTTGTTCTTATTTGGCAAGCCTAGGTTGTGTTGGTGGTCCTCCTCTGTTGCCCTCGAGGCTTTTACTGGTGGTCAGTTTGCCTCCTGACAGACAGCGTTCTACCGGCTTAGCTAGCCCAGTGCCTGGACTTCCCGTAGGACTTACTAACCCTACGGGCCCTGGAAAACCCGATTGGGCTCGGGGGTACCATGGATGCATCTTCCGAGTCCTCTCACCTTGTGCGAAGTTGCAGGTTGTTCGTCTCCCCTTTCTCAGGGAGACGATCTTCCGTACTGCCTCCGTCATGCTGCCTGTTGGGTCGATGACACCTTTGATCCGGAGTCTTGTGGGACTTGTTTCCCTCTTGTACTTCATATTCTCCATTTCTTGTCTGTTGATTGTGGGGATTAGGCAGTGGCTGCATTGCATACTTGATTCCTCTTCTTGCAATGGGGCTGGTTGGTTGCCTAGTTGGAGACCCCAGAGCTGGCCCGCTTGGGTTTCCCAGTCTCCTAGGGCTCCAGGGTTTCCTAGTCTCCTAGTTTCCTAGTTATGGTTTAGTCTCTTTATGGGGCTCTACCATAAAGAGACGTTTCATTATATTCAATGTTGGGTTGTATATTTTTAAAGGTATGTTCAGTAGTCACCAAAGTGTTTAAACAAGATTATACTGTATGCATATAATAGCGAATTGAATTTATGATTTTGGTTAATTGTGTAAAAAAGAAAAATCCTTATAAAATCAAATACAGTACCTCATTCCACATCCTGTTTATCGTGTCGGCTGATTTCCGGCTATTATCTTAGAAGGTAAAGTTTGTTTTACATTTTTAATTATTAAATTGAGCACCCTATTTACAAGATTTGTAAATCCATTTATATACTGTTTGCTAGATGGATGAGGCTAGAGAAGCTGTGCCTGGCCACAGCTGACGGGTTGGCGCCGCTGCCAATGCAATTGTCGTGGGTGCGGGACGGCATCTTAGTCGTCGGAATGGATAATGAGATGCACGTTTATTCTCAGTGGCACTTGCCAGGTAAATGAATCGGTCTCTACATTTCTCCATTTTGTATTTTTGAATAGTTTTCTCCATTGAAACATTCCTGAAAAGTCACTTCAAGTCCTAATAGGTTATTATAGATTAGAAAACACTTTCAAGCAGGCAAGAGGACTTTCAATAGTTTATATTTACTGATAATTATCGTAGGTAATCATTATAGTATTCATTTAGAGTGCTTACCAATCAATAACTACAGTGGAGTGAGATGTAGCGCTTTATGCCCTCTCTTACCTGTTTATACTTGACATGCTAACTCTTGGTACTACTATATTAAACATGTGCTGATATTTCATCATTTCAGAGAATCATTATAAAGATTATTGATATTGGTGTGAATATCGCTGATAACAAAATACAGGTGCAGATAATGATTTACGATATGAAATATTTAAATTGTATGATGGGATTGAACCTGCCTCCTTGGACTCCCCAAGTACATGCGCTACCAACTAAACCATGATGAGCTTAAAATATCTCAACCAGGATTACTACTTGACTTACTGGGAGTCTGGAAGGCACCATCCAGTATCACGATTCAGTTCGCTCTCCATCATACAGCCTCAGTACAGTACTTTCTCATACATATATCATGATCTTGAGATTTCATTGTGAATAATTTATAATGTTTATTTATACCTTATTAGTAGATAATCATATATGCCATGATTGGGTAAAGGATGCCACAGTGCCAACACCAGTGCCTTTGTACAGAAGTTGGCTCTGGGTTCGAGTCCTACAGCACGCTTAACCCCTGAGGCTGGATCCATAATATGATGATTTATTTATGGCAATTCGTTTTGTTTACTCATTACCAGTTGTCTGTTAGGATCTTTGTCATTCCAGTCTTCCTTTACAATCTTTCCTTTATCAAATAACTTTCATTTTGTATTTTCTTTTTCAATGTATCTTGTTTGGTATTGCACCTTATTGAGTGAACTCTTAAATATGTTGAAGGATATTTAATGTAACTTTAACATAAACTGCTCCATTTTAGAATCATGTTTATTTTAATTTATTGGTCCTATTTTTGTGATGGTGTCGAGCAGCCACAGACCAAAAGAATGCTCACCACATGCAAGAAAGAGCAGATAGCAGAGATGAAGGTCGTGCTCTGACTGAGGCAAATTTGAAAACGTATTTACAGGAGTCGTCGCATTATACCAAGTCTGCAACATCAATGTCCCGTGTTGCATCGTTCTCTGTCTTGTCGGCACTTGATAATAAGATGAAAAAGAGTGAGTACAATGCTAAAGATATACGGCATATTGTATATTTTGTCATTGCTCTGCTTATAAAGTCAAAATCAGGCTCATTAGCTTTCAAGATTCAAAATTTGTTAAAACGGTCAAATTCCCTTCAATATTGAACACTGAACACTACTCAAATTTTTTTTTTAAATATGGAAAGGTAAATGAAAAATGGTGGGCATTAAAAAATATTTTAAAATATGAATTATTACATAATATGCTGTCTGCCTGTTGATAATTAAAAAGTTAAGATCCTTGTGACCTGGGTTCTGACCAGGCCTCCTGTTGCTGGTCTGACCAACTAGGCCTCCTAATTGCTGGTCTGACCAACCAGGCTGTTTGATGTAGCTGCTTGCAGCCTGACATATGAGTCACAGCTTGGTTGATCTGTGATGTCATTGTCTGTATGGCTAGGTACTGTATTTCATGATACGTTCATTTGTTATGGGAAGGAACTTACAGATAAAATGCAGTACACTATGAATATTTTGTCCACAAAATAAACAAATGTATTATAGGTAATAGGTATATTCATTGACCTTATATTGCAGTGCTTAATTAGTTGGTACAAAATTGTATTTTATATAAAGCTACAGATATGCATAGTGTATCAGGCATTAAATATATTGTACCGTATATTTTCTATTCAAAGGATTAGAACACTTATAGCTATTCTTTTCTATCAGAGCTCAAATTTAACTTTCTTTTAGGTCTAGGAGAAGTGATGACCACTCAAGTAGAAGATATAGGTGAAGCTGCAGTCTCGGGGATATTTGAGGCAAGCCACATTGCATCTCCGGTACTGCCTCAGTATCACCCGCGTCAGCTGATGGAGCTTCTCAACTGTGGCAAGATACGTCGTGTCAAGGCAATTCTTGCCCACCTAGTCAGGTAATGTCATGAATTGCTAAGTTGGCTCAGTTACGTGTGTGCAATTGATTACTCAAATATTTTGGCCTAATTTATTATGAACTGTTTATATTTGTTATGATTGGGTAAGGATTTCTGACCTCATCGGGTAATCTTGGGGTCTGTCATAAAAGCTTATAGTACAGTGCAGACAGACAACCGTGGACATCTTCAAGAGGAAACTAGATTTATTCCTCCAAGGAGTGCCGGACCAACTGGGATGTGGTGGGTATGTGGGCCTGCGAGCCGCTCCAAGCAACAGCCTAGTAGACCAAACTCACAAGTCAGGTTCAGAATAGAACCAGTGAAGAGCAGAGGTGCCATAGACACAATCAGAGAACAAACTCCCGCAAACTCCCGCACCATACTGTGAGCCCTATGGAAGGACGCTCACCAGACCGCCCCTGGCCGGTCTGGTGAGCACTGGTCACAAAGCCCCAGCCGAGAGAGAGGAAACATCCGTGAATACATCGAGGCAGGCGCTCCTGAAGATGCCAAGGCACTGAACCCCAGAAAGCTCGAAGAGGAACCTGGTGAAGCAGCAGCTGGCACAAGGCCCCTGGGGGATGAACCCAGAGATTTCGAGAGCAGCGGAAGGGACAGCCCCGAAGGAACCAGAACAGACTCCGCAATCAAACCTGACCCAGCAGGTAAACAATAAGAAGCAGCGCAGTGATGGTGGTGTGACGTTTGCTTGTTTCCTTGAGAGTTGGGGGAGTTCTGCCTCCCTGTTTGGCTTTTGGTTGCAATTTTCTAACCAAGTAAGGTTTGTTTAGTTATGCTTACCCAGTCGATGTCAAACAAGGAATAGTCCCAACCACAGGGGAAGTTTCCGGAGGCCATTGCTCCCATGCCTCTGAGGGGGCCAGGTTCTGGCTCGTGGTCCCTGGTAGCCTGAACTCCATTGACTAATTCCCTAGACTAATATATCGCATATCAGTCCGACAGCTCCAGACAGCCTCCGGGTCTTGCCCAGAAAATGGGGTTTCATTACATTCAATGTTGGTTTTTTGGCGGGACACGAAGCTTGTATTTATACATACTGTACGTAAAGATTGTATCAAGGTTTTCCCGTGAGCGAACTATTGACCCTCCCCAGGATGCATCCCCACAACAGTTCCCTAACTCCTGGGGTATCTTTTTATTGTTATGTAAACAGAGGCATTACATGAAAGAAAACATGCTCAACCATTTCTGTCCCATCTGGGAATTGATCCCAGGATCCCTGATTGTGAGTCGAGAACGAAGCCACGTGTACTACGAGACCGTAGTGGAATGTTAACATTCCACTATCCCAGAGTGAGATTAAGCCACTAAATTTTCAATGAAAATTAGATGCACTACATGTCAGCTATGACAGCACAAATGATATGAACAGATTGCATAAATTTGCACCTCTCTCCAGCACAGCTATTCTAGAATTAGTGTAGATTCATATAACAAAAATGTGAAACCGAAGCCCATGCTTTATACATTGATGCCATTAAAAGCTAATCAACATACAGTAAATTAGTGATTAAAGATAGATTACAGTACTTAGTAGTAGTCAAGATTTTGTATTGGTATATAACCAACCTATTCTCTTGCCTAGTATGGAGTCAAACAATTTGTTAAAAATGCGTTATATTGATAAAAATTAAAGCGCTTAAATAGTGATGCTTTATAAGCATAGACCTCGATATGTTAGATGGGTTGCTTTGGTTTGTATGTTCCTGGTTAAGCAAAAAGAGTTTTATTTTTACATACTGACAAATTGTGAGAACAGGCCAAAATATAAATGTTTTCTCCCAACAGATGTCTCTCACAACTAGGCCAAAGAAACGCTGAAGGTGCTTACCGTGTGAGTCTCTCTGATGCCGATGATACCCACAACCGTAGCTGGTCACGGTCTCGCACTCTCTCGGTATCGGGCAACCAAGGAGGCTCTGTAAGTTAGGAAAGAGTTATGTTAATCTTTGACATCACCATAACCAACACCATAACCATTGCCACAACCATCATATAATTCTCCGTGGCACAGTGGTAACACACTCGCCCCACTCTTCGTGGGTGATTTAGCCTAGGTTTGTATCCTGGCTGGGGAGAATTTACTGGGTGCCAATCCTAGCTGTATGTCTCTGTTCACCCAGCAGTGAATGGGTACCTGGTTGTTAAACGATTTGAAAGGTCATATTCCTGGGAAAACTAGTGCGTAAGACTTACCATAAGGTTTATGTGAAGGGAAAGCTCTTAGCCTGCCAACTGGAGTCAGTAGTCATCTGTTCCTGTACCCACATGTGTGTAAAACTATTAGGGCAAGGCTGACCACCGTAACCATCACCATTACAATAACGATCATTAACCACTATAACCGTCATCATAACTCATCACTACAGTAACCATCACTATAACCATCACCACCACCCAAGAACAAATGGAAGGAGTTCATGAAAGTTAAAGATATTAATAAATCACATAAGTTTATTTACCTTATCTCATTTTTACAAGCTGAGTGGTAGACGATCGGAATTATTTAGTAGGTGATGGATGCCAAAACCATCAGTAGTTTCAAAGTGTCATATGACAAAGATTATAAGAAAGATTGGAGACTATGAGGATAGCTCTTCCTGTAACTACCCATAGGTAATTACTGCATAGCACCACCACATTTCTGCAAATTATCTACAGGACTAAGTGAAATGTCTTTTACAGTGAAAACTCTTGCTCCCTCCTCACACACTACTGCCTCATAAACTTATTGCTCATCCTGTGTACTGTTCATAGTTAATCCTCACAACCTCACACACATTGCCTTGTCATATGTATTTGTCTCTTCTTTGGTATTCCTCTCTGCCTATTCTCAAATTTACTCCACTGCTTTCTCTTCACCATTCTCCTATCATCCATTTGTCCATAGTTGCCAAACCATGTGTCATATTGGTACATTCAGGGCAATCTTGCAGTTTATTGATTTGCAATTCTCATCTTTGCATGACATTTCCATTCCCTACTCCATCTATTCTTCTTACGACACACAAGCTCTAAAAAATTTTATTTTTGTTGCTGGCATTATAACTTGTTGACATTCACGTGAAAGCTGCCTTGCATGACTCATGATGGTTGGCACTAGCCCTCCTTCATGTAGACACCGGCTGCCTCTCGTCCTCTCGTGTTCATTCCGCCCAGGGCTTTCATTACACCACCCACTTCCATTCCCTCCCTCACTCACTTCCCAACTTTGCTGGCTGAAATTATTGATTGTAAATCGCACAACCCAAGTATTTAATTAAATTCGTCAACCTCTTTGTCATTTCAGATAAACCATTCTCTTCTTTGCTCCACCATAACCTCACTTTTATTCACATTCACCCAAGGCTTCATCAGAATACATGGGCCAATTTTGTTTTTTGTTTTTTGAGTAGTATAATTTATATTAAAAAAATAGATTTTTGAAATGATTTACGGATCAAAATATGGGCCAATTTTGTTTTTTGTTTTTTGAGTAGTATAATTTATATTAAAAAATTAGATTTTTGAAATGATTTATGGATCAAAATATATACAAAGAGTTTTCTATTTTTGCTATAGTAATAAAAACAGTAATTAAGGCCCAAAAGTATTTGAGGTTGGATGCACTGAAAGAAATATTGAAATGCATCATTGTGTTTGAGTAGGTATTTGCATTCATCAACTTGAATGAGATTGGCCGCCTAAGTGCCTTCATTGTCACTTACGGTCTTATACATGATTTTCACCAGGATGATGATGTGTCTCACGTGTCTCTCTAAACTGAAATGCACATATTCAGACTGATGATAATTTTTGTTGTGAATAGATTAAAATGGGTTTGTGTATTGACAGACTAGCCGAGAGGGACGAGGCTCCGTATCCCTACTGCCTGAGGAACTGACACTTGACTACATTGAGGTGACGGCCATTCCTCCTCTTCCACTCTGGCTGCTACTGGAAGCTGACAAGGATACACAGAGCCAGCAAACAAAGACAACTGATAATAAAGAAGAGGTTAGTGAAACTGTCTTCATCTTCCATGTTTTTACTCTCTTAGTTTATTTTGCTTTCCAACAGGTTTCCATTCAGTGCCTTGAAGACAACTTATATCGACTTAAAAGTTAAGATACTTAATCTTGAGCAAGCAAAATTTGACTGGTATTGAAATTGAGCAATGTGATCCAGTAGCCCGTACCTGAATCCCTATCACTCCTCCTCCTATTCTGCCACACCCATATATACCTCCCTGATGAGCCTACTTACCTCTTGAAGATTCAGAGGATTAGTATCCCTGCAGACTGCAGGGTTGCTGGTCTGATCAACCGGGCTGTTCAATGCAGCTGCTCACAGACTGAGGGCCTGCTTGATCAGGTATCCTATGAAGGTGCTTGCCGCATTCTCTTTTGAACACCGTGAGAGGTTACCCAGTTATGCCACACGTGTGTAAGGGAAGTGTGTTGAAAAGTCTTGGGCCTTTGATATTTATCGAGGTCTCTCGGCATGCCTATTGCACCTCTGCTTTTCAATGGGGCTACTCCCCATGAACTCCGTGGAAAATGCACACTGCACACAACTTCCCCCCAGCATTTAAGTGTTGTGATGGCTGATCATTTTTAATATAGTATTTAAAGTAATTTAATCAATTTAATTCAGGCCAGGCTTCGGAACTATGGGATTCACTTCCTGAACCAATTATGTGCCTCTATAACCCATTCCACCACTGCCCTCAGGATAGGTATGGGGTGCATAATAAAGAAATGAAATGAAAAAATGGGGAGTAGAACTCCCAGAGCCCCATTAAGGCACAATAAAGGTACAATATTTTTATCAGTTAATTGATATGGTTCACATTATATTTTCCCATATTTGTTATGGGTTACTTTAAAAGGTTTCTGGCCATTATTAATATAAAGCTGCCATATACTGTATTCTTAACCATTGTGTTTGTGTGCTGATGTTTTTTGTGCTTTAAAAAGTAATTTGCATTTACTGGTACGTACTGTACATTTTAAATGTGGTGTTTGCTCATTATCTAGCTTAGCTCATTACCTACTTGTGGAGAACAAGTCATAGTAACATAGCAGAGACAGAGAAATCACATTAACGTGATATATCAGTGAGAAAATCGGTAGGAGCGGTGATGGGGATTCGATGCTCTGGGTACTCCCAAGCACCCGGAGCATAGGTTCGAATCCTCATTACGTCTCCTGATTTTCTCATGACAGACACACACACACAACCCAACCCACACATATGAAATGAAAATGATGTTTTGGTCTGTCACTTTCATGACATATTTATTAAATGTAACTGTGTTACAGACATACATGGAGTTGTTTGGGGCTCCAACATTGTCTGTTGATGAAGAAGATCTTACTCTGGATGAAGAGGATGATATGGGTAATCGCCGCAAGTCGTTGTCACATGAGGTCAAGAGCATAGCATTCTTTGGACCGCGTCAGGTGAGTCCACATCATGCTTAGCACAAACTAACTAGTTTATTCTGTTAATATTAAACTGAGGTTTAATCTTAATATTGAGAAACAAAATTACATGTAAAGAAGTGCCAGAACATGAGCCTCAGTGGTATTACAATTCTGGTACTCATTTTGTATTTTCCAGGCGCAAATTTTAGCTGCTCTTTTGACGCACACTCACCTACCTGGGCTGTCAAGTCTTGACCAAATGCATCTTTTGGCCTTAGGTGACACTGTGGCCTCGTGCAATGTGGATTTTGCCGATCGTTTTGATATTAATAAGGCCAAGGAAGCCTTGGCAAAGGAGACCTTCTCAAGAACAAGCACAGATGAACCATCAATGGGTAGGTCCAGTGATAGATCATTTTGTCCCGGATACCACAGTGGATTTTTTATTTGCATGCTTAAATTATTTTTTTTCAGTTTATTGAAAAAATTAGTTTTTAACTGTACATTTGAATAAGTCAGCCATGTGCTATCTGAACCCCTCGGGACCGAGACTGAATGGATAACATGTTGTTTTCGGATAAGTGGTTCGTCATCCTGAAAAGCTAGGGGGGGGGGGGGAATTTACAATTTTGTTGCAAAAAGTCAACAGTGTTTTGTTTGTACAGTACTCACCAATATATGTTCTGATCTGCTTGTTAACAATGCTCTAACTATAATCTCCAAGTTATTTAGATAAAAAAGGTGGTGGTGGGTAATTATAGTGTTGACTGAGGTGGAGATTAATGGTGATGAGGTATTCACAGCAGACTTCCTTTTACCATGTACTCTAATGTACCTAATGCCATGGCAGAGTTGAAAGCTTCTGAGCCCTTCATTAGTGTATGAACACTGCTCCAGTGGTGCTGTGTACAGTCACTGGGCGAAGTAGTTCCATCTTTATCGCACATTTTTATTCAGACTGCCTGTCCCACCAGTTATTTTTACTTTTTTTTCCGAACAAACCCCAATCTGATAACAGGCATTTGTAAAGCACGTGACTGACTGTATTAAAAATCTAAGGTCAAGTAATTAAATCTGGTAATTCATGCAAATATTTTCAGAGACACTGGATGACTGTGGGTTACGTTTCCTGCTGGCCATTCGTCACCACACGTACCTTCTGAGATGCATACCGATTGCCCAGCGCGCAGCTCTGCAAAAAGTAGGAATTGGTAGCCATAACTTTGTATGGGCCTTCCACTCTGAGAGCCAAGAAGAGTTACTTGATTTTATCCCATCAATGAGACAAGTAAGGGCTCTTGTTTTGTATAGAACATATTGATCAAGTTGTGCAGCATCAGAAAATGCTACTTATTGTTATAGAGAGCGAGAGAAGCAGGAATGCAAGAGTTCTTGTGTGTACATGTCTCTGATAGTGTCTGCAGAGAAATCTAGCTCTGGAACCCTGTCTTATAACTGTTTTGTTTAATTATCTAAGTGTCATTGTAGCATGAGAACTATGCTCGTGGTGTTCTGCCCTTCATGTATTCTTTGTTGTATAAATTGGTGTGGGTTATATCATGTCATTTTGATGACATGACATAAAAGTTTAGGGCTTTTATTCTTCACAGTAGTTTAATATCAACACACATGTTCTTGTGTGTGTGTATTGCTTCTGAGCGTTGTGGGGCTCCACTATTGACAGTCCTCCAGTCTGATTCATTGCTTCTTGCTATTGCCTTAATTTTTTTCTCTCTAAGGACATTTTTCATCCATGCAAGTAATCTTCTCATCACCATTTCTGTGTGTTCTGTCTTAAGAAAACAATTTCTTAAGTGGGACTTGATCTAATGCCATTTTTAAGTCAAGATTAATACAGTCTCCACACCATCTCTTTCCCATAAAACCTCAGTGAGGCTGTTGTTATGCCTTAGTAAGTGGGGTACGCCTGAGTAATGGTTGAATAATGGGTGTGATTAAATGATTAACATAGCAACACATCAATTCACCCAAACATAGTGGAACAGGCTTCCCCAAAGGTAACCGTTTGGAGTAGGAGCCCAGCTTGACAGGTGCACAGCCTGGCCCCCAGGAAAAATTCCCAGTTTTAAGCCTTAAGAGATAATGGTACCTCACTAAGCCCCCATGGTTAATGGTCAATGCTTAAACAATCAACATTTATTGATAACAAACCCCACTCCCACTTATAACAAAGTTCTTGCCTTTTGACAGTTACTTTACTATCCACTACTTTCTTTGGATAGGAGGGTGGACTTGCATAAGAAAATAGTAACCTAGCAATAAAGCACTAGTGAAACTGTTATGGACTTTTCAGAAAATCGGTACACACACACTTACTAGATCCTCTCATAGAGCGCACTATATGAACATTGACGGGTCTACGAGTAGCATTGTAAAATATAATAATGAAGATATATAAACATGGTGGCAACAATCTTAATGGAACAAACTTACTGACAGTTAATGAGATGGTTAAACTACATGCTTCCCCTCTGACTGTCATAGACCCATTGCCTCTCCTCTGCCTCCTCAGGCAGCATATTGAAAAAACTTTTCTACTGTAACCATTCCTTCCTTTAAGTTAACTTGCCAATTATTACACACAACAATTTATAATTGTTATATATATGACAATTTATGTTGCCAGTTTTTACACAACAATTTATAAAATTACATTTCTACTGTTCCAACACTTTACTGCACCAACATTCCAAAATTTATAATTGTTATAATTATGGCAACAATTTCTGTTACCAATTATTACACACAACAGTTTTATAAATTTACATTCCTACTGGCTATTCAGTATTTAGTTAACTTCTCTAAGTGCAAGGCCATGGCCAGTAGTTCACATAATCTCAGCTAATCATGCCACCGGTGGATCTGCCAAAACCCGGTAAGCCACAACAGTCACATAATACGTTCTTGTCTCTATAAAAACCATTTTCCACATTGACCACGCTGGTCGTAACGTCTTATCATAAAACGTTAATGGTTCAAAGAATGCTTAGTTTCTTGAACCTGTCCTTTTTCCTTGTTCATTTAGCCTCATTCCAGATAGTTTGGTTTGTTTATGTTCCTGGGAATTTTTGTATGGGGTGATGTAATTTCTTCCCTGACTTATCTCCCTTCTAGTGATGTAGGGGTCTTATTCCTGTAGTCTTTTCTCGTGACTCATTCCTCTCGTCTCTGGTACAGGTGTGATTGAATGTACAGTATACCTCTTGACCTTCTCCAGCTTCATTTTCTGTTTAATGAGGTATGGACTTGATACGTATGACCATACTCCATATTTCTCTGAGAATTTTGTATGTGGAAATTATGTATGGATGTATTACTGTATATGTATAATGTATGCATGAAATATATAATGTATGGAATGTAACATAATGTACGGTATGTAATATGCATGTATGTATGTACAGTACGTATGTCTAAGTTAATATTTTAAGTATGATACCTGTACTCAGTATCACATACAGTACTATACCATAAAATGCTTCTTTAAATGATCCAGAGTGATTCTTCTGGCAAGTTAATAATATAAGGGGTAAGTATGCTCTTACACAGTTATAACCTTTCCCCTTGCTCCATTACCTTTGATCAATTGCTCAATCAAACATTACCTCATGCATTGTATTATACTTCAGAGGAAAAAATATTTGTAGTAAGTATCTCAGTGTAGTTACAGGATGAGAGCTACACTTGTGATGTCTTGTCTTCCCCGTACTCTTTGTCGTATGACGCTTTGAAACTACTGAGGGGTTTTGGCCACAACCTTCTCACTTTACTTGTTACAAACGTATACCACTGTTTGCTAAAGTTAATTTTCTAATGCATTTTTTGGCAGATTTGTTTCCTTAGTTTCAAACTGTGACCGCTTGTTTTTGAAGTTGCAGTTTTCAAGAATTCTTCTTTGTCAAGTTTATCAATTCCTGTTACTATTTTGTAAGTGGTGATCATATTACCTCTTTTTCTTCTATCTTCTAGCTTTGGTGTATTTAACCCTTCTAGCCTGTCCTTGTTGCTCTTGTTTTCTGTGGGGAGCCCTGACGGCTCCCTGGAGCTATTGGACTAATGTGTGATATATTAGACCGGGGTATAAGTCTATGGAGTTCAGCCTACCACGGGACCACGAGCCAGAACCTAGCCCCCTCAGAGAGGTTGCAGGGAGCAATGGCCCTGCTCCTTCTGAACTTTAAGCCAGTTAAGGAACAATGTTTCTTAACTGTTTAAAAACAATACTTCTGTCTGTTATTATATCATTTCTCTTCTGGTGTTCTTCCCATTTGGTTTTAATTATTATATCTAGTGTTTTGACTAACACTCTTGTCAATAATAAAAATCTATAAGGGGGGTTTCCCTGTTACCATTTTTATAGTTTGGAACTGTTTGCCTCTTTCCATGCTAGATTATAATGCATGGCATATTTTATTCCTAAAAGGACTTGGTCACTCTTACCCTAGGGAGGAAGCTACTGAATGTCAAATATCTCTTCTTCTTTCCTGGTGAATATCAAATCTATCATTGATGGAACATCTGCCCTCATTCTCGTGGCTGCTTAGCATGTTGGATGTTTCCAGGATAAGGTTTATGTATCTGCCAGCCCAGATGTTCTCTGTTCTTGCTTCATAGTCCTCTCAGTCTATTGCTTTCAAGTTGAAGTCACCAGGTACCAAATATTGTACTTTATCTGTTCTTGCTATAATATCTCTCGAGATAATTTTGAGGCCCTCTTGTTTGTTATTCAGGTCTTCTTTTACCCATGTGTTGCTTGCTGGTGGCGTGTAGGCCTTGATAATTACCAGTTCATCATCCTGATTACAAATCTCCAATGCCGTTGTGTCAACTTGCATGTTGTCAACTATTAACTCTGACCTTCAGGAGTTCTTTCACCAGCACAGCACGTCCTCCACCTTTTCTAATTTTTCTATCCCATATCCAAATTGAAGGTGGGGCATTTATGTAATTTTGATATATTTACAGGGTAACCCGCGCTGGTCTGAGTTACGTGAATTGGGATTCGGGTGGTGGGTCAGGAACAACACACTTCTAATCCGCTGCTTCAATAAGGTAAGTTATATCTACGATATATTAATCCTGAGTAAAATGATAGTCTCGGGTAGTATTTTACTTCTGTGCCAAAAGAAACTATTCACATTTAAGAATTTCAATGTGATAATTCAAGGCTAGAAGTACTGTATACAAATACTTTGTATATCTCATATTTGCTTCAGATTGCAAAAGCTGCATTCCTTGTGAGGAATGATCCCATGGATGCAGCTATATACTACCTGGCCATGAAAAAAAAGAATCTAGTGTGGGGTCTCTTCCGCTCGGTTGACGATAAACGCATGACCGGCTTTTTTGCAAACAACTTCTCAGAGGAACGGTGGCGCAAAGCAGCATTAAAGAATGCCTTTGCCCTGTTGGGGAAGCAGCGATTTGAACATGCTGCTGCATTCTTCCTCTTAGCAGGATCACTGAAGGATGCTCTGGAGGTAACGTATATTTTCATCACTTTTCTCTGTGCAGATATTATTGTTTCCCAGTGCTGGGGACAGGCACTTTCTCTTCTTATTGTTGACATATTAAGGTTCCTCTCAATATGGGAATTCCCTCAAATTCCCTCAGTGTTGAGGATACAACCCACAACAGTTGCCTAACTCCCAGGTGCCTCCTTACTTCTAGATGAAGAAAGGTCTCAGGTGTATAGTCCCCATAGGCTAATGACCTTCCCTAGAATGTAACCCACAATAATCTGTGAACTCTTGGGTACCTATTTACTCCCAAGTGTAAGGTCCCCATTAGCCAATGACTAACCTTCCTCAGGATGTAGTCCACAACTGTTGTCTAACTCCCAGCTAGTTATTTACAGTTAGGAGAACAACAATATCAGATGTAAAGAAATCTAGGCAGAGATCTTGCCCTGCCTAGCAACTGAACATGGGGTCTACTCTGTTGTGAGCCATCTGGACAAACCCCTGTACTTCAGGCTCAACCCCAACACTAACATTGTTTCTTTTTTCTCTACACTCACACATGCTTTGCTATTAATATTAATGATTTTAGTTATACTTTTAAACTATCTGAATGCCTATAGATCTTGTATAACTCCCACAATGCTTCACAATTAATCCAATCATATGTTTTTTCTAAATCCATTAGCTATCAAACTGTGCTCTGTTTTTTAGATCCATTTCTAGATGCACATAAAAAAATTATTAAAAGTTCTCTCTCCTATCATATCGTAAAACATTTACTTCTGATGTTGGGGGAAAATATGATTATTTTATTGTGGCCGTAATGAGATAAAAATATTGTTGGCATCATATATTGAAAATAAATTTTCAAGTACTCTATTTGTAATAGATTTTTCCTTATCACAGATGATCTCTAGAAATTTTGCAGTGTTAATATTTCCAAGTATAGGTGTCGGTAAGTGGATAGTGATGCACCTGAAAAGGTGCCAGTTTTGTAATAAGGTCCAGAAAGGCTTACCTTGAGGTTACCTTGAGGTGCTTCCGGGGCTTAGCGTCCCCGCGGCCCGGTCGTCGACCAGGCCTCCTGGTTGCCGGACTGATCAACCAGGCTGTTGGACGCGGCTGCTCGCAGCCTGACGTATGAGTCACAGCCTGGTTGATCAGGCTTTCAGGATTTTTTCCCAATATAGCAAATGGTTGTCAGAGGTCTTTAGTGTAGAATGGCAATCACAGATCTGTTACAGGTCTGTCATTTGAGAATGACAGAAGCAGTTTGTGGGTTAAGAAACCGTTCAACTTCCTCACCTTTACTAGAAACTTTTTAACAATCATTTTTTCATTAAAAATCTGATCTGCACAGACTCCTCCTTCCTACTAAACCCCCCTTTTCCTTCCCTATCCTATCTTCTGTTCTCTCTCTTACTCTTAATTTGCACCCTTGCTTGCAACTTTTCCTGGGCTACTATGTACACTAGTTCCCCCTGGTCCCAGGCTGGGCTTGGAGAGTCAAACTCATAGACCCAACTGTGAATATAGTTTCTTCATTCTTTCCTACAACACTTTTTGTTATACCTATACTGTACTGTATGTATTTATACCACAATGTTCCTTAAACTAATCATCTGTCACCTCACTCTCCTGCCATGCACTCTGATGTATATATAATATGTAACCATCTTGTGAAATTTTACTGTGACTTTGATATCTCGTACACAAGGCACCATTGTACTTATTGTCAGGCTGCTTGTGCATTTTCCTGAATTTTGCTGTGAGATATCTTTTCTGCAAAGTCAGTTTTTCATTATTTATGTCCAACAAATCTTTGCAGTAAAAAAAAAATATTGTTTGTGAATTTAATGTTTTTTTCTCAGGTGGTTTTGAATAAGCTTCAAGATGAACAGCTGGCCATCGTGATAATATGTCTGTATGAAGGAGAGTTTGAGGCAGTCCCTCCAACACTGTGCAAACTTCTCTATACTGTGAGTTAATTATAATATTGTACTTGTAGATATAGTAACTGTATGTATCCTGCATCTAGCAACTATTTGGTGTACACACAAGCACACACACACAAGCGGGAATATGCAGCTCCAACTTGGAGCCCATACCTAGTTAAACACAAGACAAAGTTAGAAAAGATTCAGCGGTATACCACCAGACTGGTCCCGGAACTAAGAGGTATGAGCTACGAGAAAAGGCTAAAGGAGCTGAAACTCATGTCCCTGGAAGACAGAAGAGTAAGGGGAGACATGATAACCACCTACAAAATTCTCAGGAAAATTGACAGAGTGGACAAAGACAGACTCTTTAGCATGGGTGGAACACGAACAAGGGGATACAGGTGGAAGCTGAGTACCCAAATGAGCCACAGATACATTAGAAAGAACTTTTTCAGTGTCAGAGTAGTTAACAAAAAGAATGCATTAGGCAGTGATGTGGTGGAGGCTGACTCCATACACAGTTAAAGTGTAGATATGATAGAGCCCAGTAGGCTCAGGAATCTGTACACCAGTTGATTGACAGTTGAGAAGCGGGACCAAAGAGCCAAAGCTCAACCCCCTCAAGCACAACCAGGTGAGTACACATGTTATTATGCCAACATACACACACATACATCGACAAGGGTGACCAGAATATATTGGGGCTTGAGGCAGGAAACCAGGGCCAGTGTTCAAGCATTTGTATGTCCACTTGTGAGACTTGTATATCTTTTCTCAATCATGACCATTGAGGAAATTATTATTAATGAAACTATTAATAAGGATAGTTTATTGTTAATGAATTATAGAAGGACATTTTTCATGCAACACTTTACAAACTTCAAAACCTCATAGCCCAAGAATTATTATTGTTGCAGACCACCTCATAGTGCTTCAAAACTCTTGAATTGCTCAATAAATACAAACTAAGCCAGCATGATTGAAGTGCAGAGTTCGTATGTGGACACGCAAGTGGTTGATTGATGAGCAGAGTTCGTAAGTGGACATGCAAGTGGTTGATTGATGAGCAGAGTTCGTAAGTGGACATGCAAGTGGTTGATTGATGTGCAGAGTTCGTAAGTGGTCACGCAAGTGGTTGATTGATGTACTGTACAGAGTTCGTAAGTGGACAAGCATTATAGTGGATTACATCAAATGTGCCCATAGTATGAAAGCAGCATGTAAAGGATTTGGGAATAATGATGTCTGACGACCTAAAGTTTAGGGAGCATAACCAAGCAAACATTGCATCAGCCAGAAAATGATCGGATGAATTACGAGAACTTTCAAATCCAAGGATCCCATCACAATGGTTGTACTATACAAATCATTTGTACTGTCCCGTCTTGAGTACTGCTCATTACTCACTTTCTCCTTCAGAGCAGGAGAGATTGCTGAAATAGAGGGAGTACAGAGAACATATACGGCATACATAGACACAATGAAGCACCTAAATTATTGGGATCGTCTCAAAGCTCTCTAAATGTACTCATTACAAAAGGAGACGGGAGAGATATCAAATAATATACACGTGGAAGATATTGGAGGACCAGGTCCCAAATCTACACAGTGCATTTGGGACAACAACATACTGGAGTGAACAATATGGAAGAAAATGCAAAATAGAACCAGTGAAGAGCAGGGGTGCCATAGGCACAATCAGAGAACACTGTATAAACATCAGAGGTCCACGGTTGTTCAACACCCTCCCAGCGAGCATAAGAAATATTGCCAGAACAACCGTGGACATCTTCAAGATAAAACTAGATCATTTTCTCCAAGGAGTGCTGGACCAACCAGGCTGTGGTGGGTATGTGGCAAGACTGCTGCACATTCTCCAGTTTACCCATTTACCCATTCTGATAACATTGATGGGGTGGGGGGGGGGAGGCTCACGCTGTTTGCTCACACTTAGTCCCACAATTTGTGGGCATTTCGGGTCGTATCCACCGGCCTATGGTGGTGGTGTTGTTGGGCAGCTCTTCGGGGCTGGCGGGGCAGATTTCCTTCCCAGCACTCTGTCAGGTCATCTCGGAGTGGGTACGCTTGGGCATGGTTGAAACGATCCCATCCTTCAGGTGGGTTTCCCACCTGTTTCCAGTGCTGAAACGGGACTGTGCTGATCTGAAGTTCATTCTGGACTTGTCACATCTGAACCCCTGGATTCCTTGCCCGTCCTTTGGATGACTACTCTGTCTCAGTTCCGACATCTTTTGGAGCCGGGTGCCTGGATTGTGTCCCTGGACCTCCGGTACACATATTGGCACATTCCCATTCATCCGGGGTTCAGGGACTGGTTAGGTTTTGTGGTGGGGGGTCAGTCTTACTGATTTTGTTGCCTAGCTTTTGGCTTGAATCTGGCACTTCTCGTTTTCATGCGTCTTACCTGGGTCGTGGTGACGTGTCTGCATCAGCTAGGGGTCCGGGTTCTGGCCTACCTCGACGACTGGCTGGTGTGGGCTCTCAGCTGGTCAGCTTGTCCGCTCGCCAGGGGTGTGGTTCTTTCCCACCTTGCCGGGTTCAGGTTCCTGGTGAACTGTAGGAAATCCCATGTGGTTCCGTCTCTGGTTCGGACTTGGCTGGATTTTGTTTGGGATTCTCTGACCGCTTCCATGTCTCTCTCTCCGGAGGTATTGCTGCAACTGCGATCCCGCCATCAGCTATTTCTGGGAGGATCATGGGGTCACTCGGTGGCTGCTCAAGCAGTTATGCAGGAGTCTGACATTTGCCGTACTGGTTTACCCGTTGGGTCGGGTTTAGCTCCAGTGTCTGTTCTGGTTCCTTTGGGGATGCCCCTTCCACCTCTCTCTTGCGATCGCTGGGTTCCTCCTCCAGGGGCCATGCATCGATTGCTGCATCTCCGACTTTCTCGAAGGGTTTTTCAGGGTTCAGTGCCTTGGTACCTATCCGAACCCCTTGCTTGATGTGTTCACGGATGCTCTGTGTCTGGGCTGGGTCTTTGTGGCCAATGCTTGCCAGGCCGGCCAGGGGACGGTGGGATCTGGCCTTCCGTCGGGCTTACAGCAGAGTGTGGGAGTTCACGTCGGTCTGACTGTTGCTTCAAAGGGTTCGGGTCACTCGGGGTTCGACCGTTTGGCTCCATTCGGACTGTTCTCTGGTGGTTCATTGCCTGTACTGCGGGGGTTCTCTTCGGTCCTTGCTTCTTTGGGGCTGGTCACTTTGAGTCGCTTGTCTGCTGAATTCTCGGGGTTTGGCTTTCCATGCAGTTTATATCCGGGGAGTGTCCAACGTCCTAGTGGATGGCCTGTCTCAGTTTATTCCCCTGTCCACGGAATGAACGGACAACATCGACTCGTTCAGTTGGCTCTGCTGGACTTACGGGCTCCCGACGGTGGACCTCTTTGCATCAGCTTAGTCACAGCATCTCCCGATATATGTACTGCCCTTCCCCGACCACAGAGCATTTGTGGTGAACGCCTTTCAGCAGGACTGGTCAAGGTGGGGTTACCTGTACCTCTTACCCCCGGTCCAGCTGTTGCTTCGGGTTCTGGCTCAATTGGAGTCTTGCCACAGGAGAGTAGTCCTCTTGGCTCCTTGGTGGCTGACCCAGCTTTGGTTTCAGGTGCTGCTTGCTCAGTGTCCGAACCAGGGTTATTTTCCGCTGCTCTGCCTCTTCCAGCAGATCGGTCCTGTTCAGTACATGGCTGGTTCAGTCTTCTCCTCTGCTCTTCGCATCTAGTCTTTTTGATGTGGTTTTATCACAATTTGTACGGTGATCAGGTGACATCGTTGATGGTGAGAGCTTTGTCTCGGCAGCAGTATGAAATTTCCTCGCGTTCTTTCCGCCATTTTCTCTGTCTTCGTAAGTTGTCTTCTATTTCTGATAGGGTTGTCTTGTCCTTTCTGTCTTGACGTTTTCAGGACCGTCATTTAATGCCTAATACTGTCATCTTGTATCGTGCGACTCTGGCGGAGTTACTTCAGCTTGCGTTCTGGGTGGATGTCACTTCTGCCCTGTTCCGTAAGCTTTCTCATGTCTTGTTTCACCTCCGGCCTGCTCATGCGCTTCCTGAGCCGTCCTGGTCCTTGGACCGGGTGCTCTCCTATCTCACTTCTCCTCAGTTCATGGTGGCCCCCTCAGTTCAAGGTTGTTTTTCCAGGGCTCTATTTCTGTTGGCATTAGCCTCTGGGGTTTGGGTCGGGGAGCTTCATGCTCTTCTCCAGCGCAGGGGTTTCTGCTCCTTTGGTCCTAGTAGTCGGTTTGATCAGTTGCAGCCTTCTCCTTCATTTTTGGCGAAGAACGAGACTGGTGCTTTTCAGAGGGGTCCATGGGTCATTGACGATTGGTTGGTCAGGCCAGCAGTGCATCATGTGTTGCATCCGGTTGCAACTCTTCACCATTACCTGCTCGCCTAAGCTTCTGTGGCCAGGGATGTGCTGTGGTTTGATCCAGGTTTCCTCATTCCCTGTTCCAGGGCTCGAGTCTCCTGGGGTCGTCTACAGGGTTATTAGGTCTAGCCAGCCTGCGGTCTATCTTCGTGCCCATAACGCTCGGAAGTTTGCTGCTTTGGCTGCCATCTTCGGCAACATGGGATTTTGGAGGTCGAACAGGGTCCTGGCCGCCCATTATTTGGTCATCATTCATTCCCGGTCCTGGGCATTCGTGTGTGGCTATGGGTCACAGGTTTCAGCCAGTTGTCTCGCCTTCGAGTTGAGGAGCTTGTGGCAGCTGCCTCCTGGGTAAGCCCTTCTTTTCCTTCTCTTTGGTAATGTAGCTCTGGGGAGCCGAAGGAGCTCCCCACAGAAAACCAGTGTTGAATGTAATGAAACACCATTTTCTGGGTGGGCCCCAGAGGCTCCCTGGCACCCTCCCTCCCTCCGGTCGGGAGTTTTCACGTTGTTTTGATACTTGGCCACCGAAAGGGAATGGCTGGGTTGCCGGCGTGGGGGGTCCGGGATCAAACACTGAAACCCCTGCAACATATACAATCACGAGGACCTATCGGAGGGCCATCAAATTATATAAGTGGTCCAATATCCACACCAGGCAGACCCCCACCAGGCAAACCAAACAAAAAGAAAATAAAAACCCTGCAAATGTACAACGTCTGCAGAGGAAACAGAAACCAGCCACTGCGTAGGTAGCTGGCTGCGCAGCACCTTGACATCCCAACCAGCAACAATACCACTCCCTACCCAAGGCCAAATAAGGGCCACAAAACCCCAGCTGGCCCCCAAGGGCGAGATAAATCCTAAGCAGCAAGAACCCCTTAAAAAATGGCTTCCCGAATGCACCAGGGAAAGAAAACCCTGACATGCAAGGATAGTACTCACAGGGCACTTAGGGAAGGCTGGCCTAAGTGCATGCAGCCCCGGTACACTTCAGGTACACCTGGCCATCATACCACGAACAGCAGAGGACACCACGAAGGCAAAACACTGCGTAAGAAATCAAGGCCAGAGATGACAACCGCCCTGGATTGTATTAGGCGACGAACTGGAATGGCTAGGTCACCAGTGCAGGTGGTCCAGGGCTCCCACCTTTTCCTACCTGGTGGAGGGGGCTGCACGGACGAGTGACACAGCAGTGGAGTGTGACGTTTGCTTGTTTCCTTGGGATTGGAGGGAGTTCTGCCTCTCTGTTCAGTTTTTGGTTGCAATTTGCTTATCATGTGGGGTCTGTTTTGTTATGCCTACCTTTCTGGGTGCCTAACCACAGTTGATGGCAGATTGGGAAAACCCCCAACAACAGGGGGAAAGTTTTCCAGGGCCATTGCTCCCTGTGCCTCTCTGAGAGGGCCAGGTTTTGGCTTGTGGTCCCCAGTAGACTGAACTCAAATGACTAATACCCTGGTCTAATGATTTGCATATTAGCCCGATAGCTCCAGGAAGCCTCCGGGTCCCACCCAGAAAATGGCGTTTCATTACATTCAACGCTGGTTTTTTTTTACATTTCAGAGAATTTTGGGAAAGGATGAAGATGGTGAAAACATAGATTTGAGAAAAGTTCATCCTGATCCGTTCTTCCGATCGGTAGCATACTGGATGTTAAAGGATTACAGCAATTCACTCAACACCCTACTGCAAACTGACCCTTCCCTGGGAATACACCACCCGGACTATGTGGCCACCAAGTCGTCGACGACCAGCAGCGTCAGTGCGGGTTAGTCTCCTCCGTCCTATAATATAAACAAAGACTCAATTCTAATTTATGCTCCAGTAGAAGAATAAAGGAAACTATTGAAGGCCTATTGGCTCATAACAGGCAGCTCCTATTTATACCATAAGAACATGAAGAAGTAATTTAATGTATTGCTATAAAAAATTTAAATGCAAATGATTTATATTGTTATACAGTAATTGTTTTAACTTTACCAAAGAAAATGAAAAAAATCAATACCTTTGATTATTATATTAATATATTTTATAAATTTGTTTTCAGCCGATCCAAGTGTATTCAACTTCTACATTTACCTGAGGACTCATCCACTACTGATTCGTCAGTGTATTGCCAACACAGCAAAGGGAGGCGGCGGCTCACTCATGGCCTCACGGTGAGTATGGTGTAGGGAGGCGGTGGTCACTCATGGCCTCACGGTCAGTATGGTGTAGGGAGGTGGTGGTCACTCATGGCCTCACAGTCAGTATGGTGTAGGGAGGTGGTGGTCACTCATGGCCTCACAGTCAGTATGGTGTAGGGAGGCGGTGGTCACTCATGGCCTCACGGTCAGTATGGTGTAGGGAGGCGGTGGTCACTCATGGCCTCACGGTCAGTATGGTGTAGGGAGGCGGCGGCTCGCTCATGGCCTCACGGTCAGTATGGTGTAGGGAGGCGGTGGTCACTCATGGCCTCACGGTCAGTATGGTGTAGGGAGGTGGTGGTCACTCATGGCCTCACGGTCAGTATGGTGTAGGGAGGTGGTGGTCACTCATGGCCTCATGGTCAGTATGGTGTATTGAGGTGGTGGTCACTCATGGCCTCATGGTCAGTATGGTGTAGGGAGGTGGTGGCCACTCATGGCCTCACGGTCAGTATGGTGTAGGGAGGTGGTGGCCACTCATGGCCTCACGGTCAGTATGGTGTAGGGAGGTGGTGGTCACTCATGGCCTCACGGTCAGTATGGTGTAGGGAGGTGGTGGCCACTCATGGCCTCACGGTCAGTATGGTGTAGGGAGGTGGTGGCCACTCATGGCCTCACGGTCAGTATGGTGTAGGGAGGTGGTGGTCACTCATGGCCTCACGGTCAGTATGGTGTAGGGAGGCGGTGGCCACTCATGGCCTCACGGTCAGTATGGTGTAGGGAGGCGGTGGCCACTCATGGCCTCACGGTCAGTATGGTGTAGGGAGGTGGTGGTCACTCATGGCCTCACGGTCAGTATGGTGTAGGGAGGCGGTGGCCACTCATGGCCTCACAGTCAGTATGGTGTAGGGAGGCGGTGGTCACTCATGGCCTTACGGTCAGTTCCAAGTACCAACACTGGCAGTACAAAGCATCAATACTGGCAGTACAAAGCACCAACACTGGCAGTACAAAGCATCAATACTGGCAGTACATAGCACCAACACTGGCAGTACAAAGCACCAATACTGGCAGTACAAAGCATCAATACTGGCAGTAGAAAGCACCAACACTGGCAGTACAAAGCATCAATACTGGCAGTACATAGCACCAACACTGGCAGTACAAAGCACCAACACTGGCAGTACAAAGCATCAATACTGGCAGTACATAGCACCAACACTGGCAGTACAAAGCACCAACACTGGCAGTACAAAGCATCAATACTGGCAGTACATAGCACCAACACTGGCAGTACAAAGCACCAACACTGGCAGTACAAAGCATCAATACTGGCAGTACATAGCACAAGTACTGGCAGTACAAAGCACCAGTACTGGGAGTACAAAGGATCGACATTACTGGGAGTACTGTACCAAGAATGGATTTATCTTGTAAGTTGGCAATAATTGCAGTACTGAGAATAATTTGTATTATTTGATTATGTTACAGCCTTGGAACAGGTCAGGATATGCTTGACAAGAAGAGTGTTTATGAGAGCAGTATGACCCCTCTGGAAAGGCAGCTGTACTTCACCACCGCCCACGCTCACCTCCGCTCTGGCTGCCCAACCCTCGCACTTGAGGTCTTGTCCAAGTTACCCGATAACGTGATTGATCTAGAGAATCCCGACACTGGAGGTAGGTACTCTGTGTTTTGTAATTAAGTACTGTATATATATATTGGTTAATTGTAGCGATTTGTGTAAGTTGTTACTCGTGAACTTTCTGATTGCCGTTCTTTATATAGCTATAGCATTAAATTTGTTACTTATGCTGTTTGAAATGTTTGTCAGAGTAAAATGTTCTAGTACAAGAAAATTAAAGAGGGAAAAAATCTTTTTGCAGTAAATGTGTCTGTTTATAATATATGTCTGTCATGTTTCCAGCATCTAGCAAGAGGTCTTTTGTAGTCTTTTCCATACATATCTCTCTTCATTTCAGCGACAAATTTATCATCAGTCTCACGACTGTTTCACTCCATATATCAACTTCTACTTCAGTCTCCTACTTTAAATTATTTGTTATTATTATCAGGGGATTATTTTTTGTTCCCGAACACGGTCCCCTTAGTTGCTCCTCTGAGCCAGGCTCGTGGGTCCATGCTGGTCACTGCTGGCATGCCATGCACTCATCTTCGTTGAACCCCATCAAGAAATTTTTCAAGGGGTTTTGTCTTATTGTATAGGGTTTGGGAGCACTGGAGATCATATCTTGATCCACCACAGTAGAAACCACTTATTGTAACAAGAAAACCTTTCAGATCAGTCAGTGTCTCCTAGTAGCACTGGTGGTGGTCTAAGGTTCATTATTTGCCCACATTGAAAAGGTTAAGTGCATCATACACTAATAAAATTAATTTTGGGAAGATAACAATGCTGTTATTGAAATATGTAAATTTATAATTAGAATTTGACTATTGCATAATTCTCTAATCTTTCTCATAATGTCTCCTTTCTAATATAGATCTTTTGGGAAGTCCATCAAAGGAGCACAAACCGGCCATTGAGTTAATACACAGTGGAACCCTTGAGAGTGATGACTCGTTTGAACAGAGTAACCGTGACCGAGCTGCTGATCTCTTTGCTCCCAGCTCACGCTCAGGTATGGTACCGATAACGGCAAGTCTTGCATCTCAACAATCTTACATTACAACGAGAGCATTTGAAAATGTTGCTAGCAAGGTAGTTCATATAATCATTCTTAACATGTGTTCACCAGTGTGTTTTCTATGGCTTATGTTTATTATTTTTAAGATTACTTTTTATTAGTGTTGTGTTACTGTTATTGGATATAATAGGTTTTTGGCTGATCTCAGTCTAGAGTTGTCTAGAAAGCATGTAGCTGTCTGTTATTAGCTTTACCGTATACAGTATTGAGGTATCTTTTCTGTGGGGAGCCCCTTTGGCTCCCTGGAGCTATAGGACTGATATGTACTATATTAGTTTGGGGCTTCAGTCAATGGAGTTCTGCCTGCCAGGGACCAGAGCCAGAACCTGGCCCCCTCAGAGAGGCACAAGGAGCAATGACCTAAGGAGACCCCCTCACCCCTTGTATTTGGGAGAATTCCTTGTTTGCCATCGACTGGGGTTAGGCATCCAGAAAGGTAGGGATCTCAAAACAAACCCCACATGGTAAAAAATTGCAAAAAAACCCAAGACCGAACAGAGAAACAGAACTCCCCAAAGGAAACCAGCTAACAAGCAATCATCATTCACCGCCGCTGTGCCGCTTGTCTGTGCAGCTCTCCCCCTCCAAGCGAGGGGAAGGAACGAGCCCCAGACCTATGCGCTGGCTACCCCCACCTCAGTACTTAGGCAGAAGCACTCTGGGGCGGTTGTCGATTCTGGCCTCAGAGTCAAGCTGGATTTTGTGCCCTTGTGGTGTTTCTTGCTGTTTGTCGCACGATGGCCAGGAGTAGCATAGTGTACTGAGGGCTGCATGCGCTTAGGGCTGCCTTCCCTAAGCGCCCTGTGAGTACTACCCTTGGGTTCTAGGCTCTTTTCCCCTAGGGCTTTCGGGCTTCACTTCCATGGGAGTTCCTGCTGCTCGGCAGTTGCCTCACCCTTGAGGCCAGCTGGGGCTTAGTGGCCTTTGTTTCTCCTTGGGTAGCAAGTGTTGCTATTGCTGGTTTGGGGCTCATGGAGCTGTGCAGCACGCCTACCAACGTGGTGGCCGTATTCCATGTTCCTCCTGTGGTGGTTGTGTTTTTTTTTTTTTTTTGTATATTGCTTGGAGGAGGTCTGCCTGATTTAACTATTAGTCCCCTAAAGTACTCTGGTGGCCCTACACTTGTGCCCTGTGCTTGTATACCTCTCAGAAGTCCAGTTATAGCCCTATTACCTCTTGTTGACATTCTCATACAATGGCTCAACAGGCTTTGCAGCACTGTTGCATGGGCTTCCCATTGGCTGAACCCCTTACGGGCTGTGGAAAACCCTTGTTAGGGCATGGATGCGTCTTCCATCTCGCCTTGTGTATGGTTAAAGGTTGTTCTTTGCCCTTGTCTCAGGGTGACAGTCACCTGTTTTGCCTCCGTCATGCTGCCTGTTGGGTTGGCGACCTACGACCGGAGTCTTGCGAGACGTGTTCCTTGCTCGTACTCCAATTTACCCGTTCTTCTTTGGATGTTCTTCGGGGTCAGGCAGCGTCTGTGTTGCATCATTGGTTTTGATTGTTGCAATGCGCTTGGTTGGTTGCCCGCTTGAATGGCCCCGGGCTGTCCTGTATTGGTTGGGTCAGACTTGGGGGCGTTGGTCACTTCAGCCTTGGATCAGTCCATGCCTACGGGTCCTTTCCCTGCTGTTGTGGTTCCTCAGCTTTCCCCCCTCCCCCCCTCACTCTCTTCCCCCCCTCTGCTGCCGACTCCCTACTGCCTGAGGGTTTCGGGGTCTGGGCGGGTTTTAGTTTGGGATGAAACTTAGGGCGACTCCAGGGGCTACATTGAGATTACCTTGAGATGATTTCGGGGCCTAGCGACCCCGCAGCCTGGTCTTCGACTAAGCCTCCTCATTGTTGGACTGGTCAATCAGGCTACCCCATTCATTGCGGGGGACAGAGGCCTTTGAGTCTGCTTCTTCCGCCGAGGCTTCTAGGACTTACCAGCAGGCCTCCTTCTAGTTGCCGTTCCCTTGGACATTGCCTTTCTTCTAGGATGGTGGGCGTGGAGGGTGGCTTTGCCCCTCAGGGCCTCTGTTGGGGGTTCCTGGTGCTGTGGGGGGAGCCCACTCACAGTTCTGGGACTGTTTGCCCTGCTTGTGCCTTCTGGGTGGGAGGGGAGGGATTTCGTCCCCCCTTTCCATCTGCTTTGTTTCCTCATTTGCTGTCGTGATTTCCACTTTTCATTGGACATTTCTTTTGTTTTACTGGCCATCTTGCTTTTCAGTGGGTGCTTTCCCTCCTAGCCACCAGGCAGCGCTGCTGTTCGTTTACATGTGACTGCTGGGCGTGTGAGCTTGCATTTTCGATGAGCTTCATGCTCTCCTCCGATGCAGAGGTTTCTGCTCTTTTGGTCCTGGTGGACATTTTGTTTGGTTGCAGTTTCCTTCTTTTCTGGTGAAGGACGAGACAGCAGGCTTCCGGAGGGGTCTGTGGGTTATTGATGCTTGATTGGTCAGGCCGGGGGTGCATCATGTTTTGTGTTCGGTTGCGGCTCTGTGCCTTTATCCGTGCACCTCAGACTCTGTGGCCGTGGACACGCTTTGGATTGATCCGATTTTCTTTCCCTGTTCCAGGGTTCGGGTCTCACAGGTCGTTCGCAAGATTATAAAGTCTAGCCAGCCTGTGGTCTACCCTCGTGCCCATGACATTCGTAAGTATGCTGCTTAGACTGCCGTGTTTGGCAACATGTTCTGGGCTGATGTTCGGGCGGGGCGGTTTCTGAAATCGAACAGGGTTCTGGCTGCCTGTTATTTGGTAAATGTTCCTGTTTCCAGTCGTTTGTGTGTAGCTTTGGGTCGCAGTTTGCAGCCAGTTGTCTCGTTTTCGAATTGAACCAAGCGATGTTGCCGCGTCCCAAGTAAATCCCTCTTTTTACTTATCATTGGTTATGTAGCTCCAGGGAGCCGAAGCGGCTCCTCACAGAAAACCAGCATTATCAGGGTGAGCCCCAGAGGCTTCCTGGCACCCTCTCTCCCTCCAGTCTGCAGTTTCATTTTTGGTGCTCAGTCTCCGAACTGAGGTGGGAGTAGCTGGCACACAGGTCCAGGACTCCTCCCTCTCCCTCCCTGGGAGGGCTGCGCAGTCAAGCGGCACGGAGGTAGTGAATAATGATTGCTTGTTTGCTTGTTTCTTTTGTTTTCATTTGGGGAGTCATTTGGAGAGTTCTGTTTCCTCTGTTCTGTTATGGGTTTTTTGCAATTTCCTACCATGTGGGGGTTTGTTTTGAGATGCCTACCTCTCTGGGTGCCTAACCTCGATCAATGGCAGACAAGGAGTACCACCCAAATTCAAGGGGGGATCTCCTTAGGCCATTGCTCCCTCCCTCTGAGGGGACCAGGTTCCAGCTCTGGTTCCCGGTAGGCAGAACTACATAGAAGCCTCAGACTAATATAGCGCATATCAGTTCTAAAGCTCCATGGAATCTCCGGGGCTCACCCAGAAAATGGTGTTTCATTACATTCAAAGCTGTTTTTTCTGTGGGGAGCCCCTACGGCTCCCTGGAGCTTATCGGGCTAATGTGTGTTATGTTAGACCGGGACATTAGCTAAGGAGTTCAGACCTACCAGGGACCAGCGCCAGAACCTGGCCCCTTCAGAGAGGTTTCAGGGAGCAATGGCCCTGGAAAACCCCATATGGTTGGGGGTTTTCCTTATCTGCCATCGACCGGGGTTAGGCACCCAGAAAGGTAGGCGTAACAAAACAAACCCCACATGGTAAGAAACTACAACAAAAACCGAACAGAGAGGTAGAAAACTCCCTACAATCCCAAGGAAACAAGCAAACAAGCAAACATCACACTTTACTGCCGCGCCGATCGTCCGCGCAGCCCTCCCCACCCCGGGAGGGGGAGGGGGGAGCCCCGGACCTACCGCGCCGGCTGCCAAGCTCCAGTTCGTTCGCTAATGTCAACCGGGATTGACGCTTCTCTGGCCTCAGTTTCCTAGGCGGTGTTTGCCTTGTGTGGCGTTCACTGCCGTGAGTTGTGGTGTGCGGTGGCCAGGAGTACTTCATCAGTGCCGGGGCTGCATGTGCTTAGTGGCTGACTTCCCTAAGCGCCCTGTGAGTACTGCCCTTGCGTTACAGGGTTATCTTCCCTGGGGCGTTCGGGAACCATTCCCGTAGAGGTTCTTGCTGCTCGGCATTTGCCTCGCCCTTGGGGCCAGCTGGGGCTTGGGGCCCTTGTTTGGCCCTGGGTAGGGATTGGTATTGTGCTGGTTAGGGCGTCAAGGTGTTGCGCAGCCTGCCACCTAAGCGGCGGCCGGTTTCTGTTGCCTCTGGAGACGGTGTACTTTTGCGGGGTTTTTCTTTTGTTTTTCATTTTCTTGCCTGGTGGGGGTCTGCCTAAGGTGGTTTTAGTTCCACTGGTAGTGTTTGGCGGCCCTCTGCTAGGCCCTCGTGCTTGTACACGTCTCAGGGGTTTTCAGTGCTATAATCTACCCTCTTGTTATGTTTGGGTTTCTTAACCGGTTAGCAACACCTTGCCCGGGCTTCCCGTAGTTGTTACCCTACGGGCCCTGGAAACCCCTGTCTGGGCTCGGGGGACCATTGAATGTGTCTTCCGGGTTCCAACCCGTCTTGAACGGGATCGTTGGTTGCTGTTCCCTTGTCTCCGGGTGACAGTCGCCATTTTTACCTCCGTCATGCTGCCTGTTGGGTCACTGACACCTTGATCCGGAGTCTTGCGAGTGATTCTCTGCTTGTTCTCCAGTACTCTCCTGATGTTATTACTGTTCAGAGTACAGGCGGCATCCGTGTTGCAAGCTAGGTTAGGTTGCTGCAACATGCTAGGTTGGTTTCCCACTCGAATGCCCGTGGCCGCCCCGTTTGGTTAGGTGCTGCTCGCCCCTTTCTCTCCATGTTCCCGGCTCCGGACCGTCTGCGGGTTTCGGGGTCGGGGCGGGGTTCAGTTGCGGCAGAGACTCGGGCGGTTTTCGGGGGATGCCCCGTTCGGGTTGGGGACGGAGGTTTGAGCCTGTAACCTCCTGCCAAGGCTTCTGGGTCTTACCAGCGGCCCTTTCTTGTTGCCTTTCCCATGGGCTCTTGCTTTTCTTTAAGGGCGGAGGGCTTGGAGGACGGCTCTGCCCCGGGGCCTCTGTTGTTGGTTCCCGGGGCTGTGGGGGTTGCCTGCTAGCAGTTCTGGGGCGGTTTTGCCCCTTCAGGGGTTTTTCTGCTGTTGGGCGTCGTTTTTCGCCCTTCCAGTCTGCTAGCTTCCCACATTTGCTGGCGTGTTTTTGTGTATTAAGCGTCAGTCACAGCCCCTGCTGGCGGCCATTTTCGTCTGCCGGTTTCACGGCATGGCCACCAGGGCGGCGTTGCGGTTTGTTTACATGCGTCTGGGTGTGCGAGCGAGCGTCTCTGGTGAGTTTTCAAAAAATTTGCAGGGTTTTTGTTCTCCTGTTGTCGTTTCTTTGTTTTTCTGGTGTTTTCTTGCCGTTGCCTGTTCCTCTGGGAACGTTTGGGTGTTGCTTTTGGGTCTGAGCCTCTGGGTTTAGGCTCAGTGCCCCTGGCTGGTATGCTTGCTCCCACACCTTGCCCCTCGGTTTTCGGTCTGTTGGGACCGTTTTCCCAGGGCGTTCTGCTGGGGTCTGTGCTTTGCCTTTTAGTGGTGTTCTCCGCCGGCAAATGTGGTGGTTTGGGCTCCCCCTGGTTCGATTCTGGGTTCCTTTGGGTTCCTTGGTTTCGTTCTGGAGGTTTCTTCCTCTTGGGCCCCCTTTTGTGGGTTCAGGGGACTTTGTTTCCTCGTGTGACCCGGTTTCTGCCTTTTGGGGTTCCGGGGTCTTCCTGGCTTGCAGACTGAGCTTTTTGGGTCTTGGCACATGTTGTGGTTGTGCTGGGACTTTGTGGTATTGCTGTCGAGGTGGGCCTTTTGATGCAGTTTTGTGCCTTCTTTGCCTGGCCGGCGTAGTGCTCTTTGCCACTAGTCGGCGGCGTGTGCTTTTACAATATATGTCCTCACCTAGTTGTGCTTGTGGGGGTTGAGCTCTGGCTCCTTGGTCCTGCCTCTCAACCGTCCGTCAACAGGTGTATCGGTTCCTGTGCCTCTTGGGCTCTGTCATGTCTACATGTGACGTTGTATGGGGGTCAGCCTCGTTACTTGTGTGAGGAGTCGCCACATTACTTCTTCGTGCTTTCCCGTTCCCATTCTGACACTCAAAAAAAAAAAAAAAAAAAAAAAAAAAAAAACTAATTCTATCTGTGGCTCTTTTGGGTACTCAGTTTCCACCTGTGTCCCCTAGTGCGTGTGCCCCTTGTGTTACATAGCCTGTCCTTCTCAACCCTGTCGATTCCCTTGGGTATCTTGTATGTGGTGATCAGGTCTCCCCTCACTTCCTCTTCCAGCGAAGTGTGGTTTCATTCCCGTAGTCTCTCCTCATGACTTCGGTAGTGTACTTTTTCTTTCTGAAGGGGTTCTGTTCCCTTCTCTGTTGACTGGGCGCTGGGGGAGCAGCTTGCTCTGTTGCCTCTCGCTTGGTCCCGCTGTTGGTGGGCGCTTTGGGTTGTCTTCCGGCCTCTGCTGGCGTCGGAGGACGGCTTCTCCCCCTTGGGGGGGGTTCAGAGCTGGCGGGGTGGGCTTCTTCCCTGCGCTTCGTCTTTTCCTCTTCGTGGGTGCGTGGGGCGTGGTCGATCCGCCCCATCCTTCTGGGCTTCCCGTCTGCTCTTTGCAGTCATGAGCTTTTCCCGTCTGCTCTTTGCAGTCATGAGCTTTTCCAGTCTGCAGTTCTTCTGGACTACTTCCGTCTGCGCCCTGGATCCTCTGCCCTGCTCGGAGGACTGTTGTCTCCTGTTCGGATTCTGTTAGGGGCGGGTGCATGGATGGTGGACCTGGACCTCCAGGTCACTTCTTGGCACGTTCCTCTCCAGTTTTTCTGGGGCTAGCACGGTTGGTAATTACCTATGTGTACTTACCTAAGTGTAGTTCCAGGATGAGAGCTACTCTCGTGGTGTCCCGTCTTCCCAGCACTCTTTGTCATATAATGCTTTGATTATAATTGTCATATTGTCATATAATGATTGTCATATGTCATAATATGTCTTCATATGATTGTCATACAATGCTTTGGTGGTGGGGCTTCAGGTTTGCTGTTTTTATAGCATTCCCTATTTTGTGAAGGGCACTTTGTATACTCTTTGCATCTTTACCGGATCTTAGTGCCCTGTCTGCGTCTGAGATTCGGTGTCTGGCCTACCTCGACGACTGGCTGGAGTGGGCTCCCAGTCAGTCCGCTTGTCTGCTCGCCAGGGGATGGTTCTTTCCAGATCACTGGGTTTGGTTTCCTGGTGATCTGGAGGTTTTACCTTCTGTTTCCGTCCCGGGTTCGGACCTGGGCCTTGTTTCAGGCTCTTGGGCCCCTCATTGCCTTCCCTCCAGAAGTGTTACTGTGGCTGTGGTCCCGCCTTTGGCTGTTCAGGAGGGGGTCCCGGGTTGCTCAGCGGTTGCTTGGGCGGTTGTGCGGGAGTTTGCACTTCGGCGTGCTTGTCTGCCCGCGGAGTCGGGTTTGGCTCCGGCGTCGGTTGGTTCCTACGGAGACTCCACTTCCGCCTCTTGCATTCCTTGGGTTCCTCTGGGGATCTGGTGTTGGTGCTGCGTCACCAGCTTCCTCTTTGGGGTTTTCGGGGTTCCGTGCCTTGGCGGCTCCCCGAGCCTTCGCTCGATGTGTTCACGGACGGGTCGTCTCTCGGCTGGGGCTTTGTGACCAGTGCTCACCAGGTCGGCTGAGGTTGATGGAGTCTGTCTGTCCGTCGGGCTCACAGCCCGGTTCAGGTGTTCATGGCTGTCTGGTTTGCGCTTCGGAGGGTTTGGGTCACTAGGTACTCTACCATTCAGCTCTGTTTGGACTGTTCTCTGGTGGTTCTTGCCGGAACCACAGGGGGTTTGGTTAACCGTGTGGTTCGTGTCCGGGGTGTGTCCTGCGTCCTGGTGGACAGCTGTCTCGGTTCATTCCTCTTTGTGGGTTGGCCAGTCGTCGCCGATTCGTTTTGTTGGCTCTGTTGGGCTTATGGACTCCTGGCCATGGACGTCTTCGGGTCGGCGTGGTCTAGGCGTCGCCCGTTTTGTGGCGCCCTTCCCACCTGCGAGGACTTCATGGTGGAGGCTTTCGGCAGGCCTGGTCGAGGTGGGGGGTACCTGTACCTCTTCTCCCGGTCCAGCTGTTGCTTCGGGTTCTGGCTCAGTTGCAGCCCATTCCCACGAGAACAGTCCTTATGGTTCCACTGTGGCCGGCCCGGCCTTCTTTTCAGACGCTGCTTGATAGGTGTCCGTACCCGGGGCGTTTTTCCTGAGGCTTCGCCTCTTTCAGCAGGCCGAATCGGTCCTGTCCGTGACTGGTTCGGCCTTCTCTTTGGCTCTTCGCGTCTGGTATTTTGACGCAGGTATCGCCATCTCTATGGTGTTCAGGTGGCTTTGTTGACGGTGTCCCACCTGCGAGCTTCGTCTTGGAGACTGTATGACGTTTATTACGTCTTCTCGCGTTTTGTTTCCCCTCCGGCCTGCTCATGAGTCGCCTGAGCCATCCTGGTCCTTGTTCAGGGTACCTTCTTCTCTTCCCCTCAGTTTGTGGTAGCCCCTTCGGTTTCAGTTTCCTCCTCTTTGGTACTGGTGGTAGCTTTATTGGTGTGCAGCCTTTCTCTGTCCTGGCGACGGTCGAGACGGCTGCTTTCCGGAGGGGTTCTTGGGGTATTGGTACTTGTTTGGTTTGGCCGGGGGGTGCGTCCTGTGTTGTCCAGTTGTGCTTTTTGCTGTTGCCGGCGTACCGTGCCTGGGGATGCGCTGTGGTTGATCCGGTTCCTTCGTTCCCTGTTTTCAGGGCTCGGGTCTCCCGGGTCGTCCGCAGTGTTTTCCTTCTTACTGCGGTCTGTCTTTGCGCCCGTGCTGTTCAGACGTTTGCAGCAATTGCTGCTGTGTTGGTGACGTCTCGGGCTCATTTCGGGCGCAGGGAATTGTGGGTCGCACAGGTTTTTGGCCGCCCATCCATATGTGCGTCTGTTCTTGGGCGTTCTTGTTGCCTTGGGTCGCAGGTTTGCGACCGGTTGTCTTGGCTTTGCGTTGCAGAGTTTGTGGCGGCCGCCTCCCGGGTTAGCCCTTTCTTTTCCTTCTCTTTGGGTATGAAGCTCCAGGGAGCCGTAGGGGCTCCCCACAGAAAACCAGCGTTGAATGTAATGAAACGCCATTTTCTGGGTGAGCCCCGGAGGCTCCCTGGAAACCCTCCCTCCCACCGGTCGGCGGTTTTTTCGCGTTGGTTGAAGCTTAGCTTCCGAACTGGAGCTTGGCAGCCGGCGCGGTAGGTCCGGGGCTCCCCCCTCCCCCTCCCGGGGTGGGGAGGGCTGCGCGGACGATCGGCGCGGCAGTAAAGTGTGATGTTTGCTTGTTTGCTTGTTTCCTTGGGATTGTAGGGAGTTTTCTACCTCTCTGTTCGGTTTTTGTTGTAGTTTCTTACCATGTGGGGTTTGTTTTGTTACGCCTACCTTTCTGGGTGCCTAACCCCGGTCGATGGCAGATAAGGAAAACCCCCAACCATATGGGGTTTTCCAGGGCCATTGCTCCCTGAAACCTCTCTGAAGGGGCCAGGTTCTGGCGCTGGTCCCTGGTAGGTCTGAACTCCTTAGCTAATGTCCCGGTCTAACATAACACACATTAGCCCGATAAGCTCCAGGGAGCCTCCGGGGCTCACCCAGAAAATGGCGTTTCATTACATTCAACGCTGGTTTTTTCAGTATTTTTAAGTTACTCATATTTCATAGTTTGTTCTTATTATCATTATTTTATCTCATTTCAATTTTTTGTCATTCAGGTTTTGGTTCATCCTCAGCAGAGTACGACTGGTCATCATCAGGCTTATTCCATAAAAAGAAGGAAGACGATGGACTTGACCTGGACTTCTCCATGGGCGATGAAGAAGAGGAGGAGGAGGAGGAAAGTAAACCTCCGGATAATCACTCTGTAGCCAGTGATGACCAAGGTAAGCTACTTTACCAAGTTTCTCGCAGCATCTGAGGATGCTTGTATTTTTGGGGTCTTTTCCCCAGTAGCTGTGGCAGCTCTGAATGTTAGTGGTAAGATGTCAATAATGTCAGGTATACATGGACACACTCACTTGCTACCAGGGCCAACTGCTCTTACAAACTTTTCCTTGCTCCCCATCCCCCTTCCCCTCCCCTCTGTGAGGCAGGGAGCTCATGGTATTCAGAGATGTAAACCAATACTGAGGCAGTATCTGCAAATGAATGAAGCATCACAAAATGCTCAAATTCCTGAGAAATGTTATAAAAAATAGATATCCAATAAACTAAGACCTGCTTAAGTTGTCCCTTTGGAAGCACTAGCCATGTGGTTCTCATGTATTTTATAAACCCCTTACTGGTAAAGCATTATTTACTGTTAAAATCTCTCATCTTGGTTTTCTATATACAGTACTATAGAGTGAAGTACCATAACACACCATGAAGATGATGTGTTACATTTACCTTAAACATTTGTGTTTACATACTTCAGTTAAAAAAGTTTGATCTCAAATTGTTTTCTCTATAGGAGCTCGAAAAGCAAGCAAAAAACATTTGGACATAATGGCTCAACAGCTGAAGTTTGTGTCATGCCTCAAGATGATGATGGAGGAGCTGGCAACCCTGGCGACTGGATGTGAGGTGGACGGTGGGCAGCTGAGGTACCAGCTGTATGTGTGGCTCGAGAGAGAGGTGGAGGCTCTCAAGGAGGTTTGCAACTACTGCAGCACCCTCCAAGTGGGCGGTGAGTCTGGTCTCCTCCTTTTGTGTTCTCTCATTCTTGTTCTGTAGAAAAATTGAGTTATAAGTTTGTTAAACTGTAATTATTAATTATGATTTAAGGAGGTATTCACGTGAGAAATTTGATCACCACAGTGTACTGCGAGTTGTGGCGGGACGTTTGGTGGGGTGAGTACGTCCGGGTGATTTAGCACCTTGTTTGGTGGGGGACAAACTTGGCTGATCTGACTATCTTTCTTAATAATATGTATGGATACCAACAGCAGAGTTGTATGTGAGGATGAATGTGCATTGTTATTGTTGATTATTTAATCTCAAAACTTTATTGTTGTGATGGTAAATGGTCATTTATGCTTTTCTTGTATCATTTTAATTATACATTTGTTGTGTTAAGTATAATTATGAAAATTGAAGGTACTATAATTGTACTGTACTTTCATATTTTATACAAACTTTACCAGTTGAGAGATTTTTCTTTAAACAATGCAATTCATGGATTAATAAGACCTCTGATAAATTCTTTGGGGCTTCTTATAGAAATTATTCACACTATGTTCTGTAGTAATACTGTAGCAGTATACTAAATTAATATGGTAGACATTGGTCAATTCATTATATCCAAAGTTTGAAAATTGCTTTTTTAAAGAGATATTGAATTTTGTCCATGTATGGTAATTTTAATACACTTCAGTGAATTGTTAATGTTGCTTCAGTGAACAGGAGCTGGTTTTTCACCCATAGGGTTATACACACATGGAACTGCCTATGCATCGAAACCATAAATGCTGGACATTACTTCAGTTTAAAATCCAATTGGAAACAATTCTCAGGAACATTGGGGGGAAACGACGATGTTTTGGTCTGTTCTGGACCATTCTCAAGTCACTATCGACTTGAGAATGGTCCAGGACGGACCGAAACGTCATCGTCCCTTCACTTTCTAGTGTATGGTTTGGTCAACATATTTCAGCCATGTTATTGTGACTCCTCGTCTGCATTGGGGGGAACCTTTGACAAGCCTCCAGCTTTCTGTCCCTGTTGAGGCCATTTGAGATATTATATCCCTTAGGTAATTTCAGGAAACTTGCCTAGCAGATGTGTTGGCAGTAAGGTTGTCAGTCACTCCACACATCTGGAAACATTGGTATACCTCACGTTTCACTGCTCACAATTTGCTTCACACAGAGTGTCATGTACACACACCAGTCATGTACCTTAGTCCTGGCTTTGTTGCTGTTGACTTCTCTCTTTCACAGTACATATAGTACTTAAATACTCTAACCGTCTTACCATACATGACCTGACCTAAGCCTTTCCTCTTTTCTTTTTCTTACTCTCTTATTCTTACCTCATCCCATTCCTTTTTCATCCCATTATTACTCTCATGCCATTCGCACCTTTCACCTTATTCTTACCATCTTCTCTTGATGACCAAACCACACATCAAAGGATGAAGGAATGACAACGTTTCGGTCCGTCCTGGACCATTATCAAGTCGTATGTCCAGGATGGACCTAAACATCGTCGTTTCTTCATCATCTTGTGTGTGGTTTGGTCATTGTATCTTTAGCCACGGTATTGTGACTCATCGTCTGCACCTCCTTCTCTTACCTTCTTCTCACCTTACACCTTACCTTCTCTTACCTACTCCTGACCTCACTCTTTCCTTATTTATTGACCCGTTCCTTCCCCTCTCCACTCACACAACTTGATAATGGTCCAGGATGGACCATTATCATTATTGTTTTTTCATCTTCTGATGTGGGGTTTGGTCATCGTATCTTCAGCCACGTTATTGTGACTCGTCTTCATTCATTCATATATACACATACATTCACTCATTCATTGATACATTCATTCATGAGTTTAGAAGGCTATCAATACGAGGTAGCTCCTATTTATATACATCCAAACAGATTTATATATATCTAACCTAAGTTTGAACATGTTGCAAACCTTTTTGAAAAAAAATACACTCACATACAGTGCAAAGTTCATCAGCAACTTTGACCAAATATTTATTGTAGACCAGCTATTGATAAAATCCTAAAATGAGTGAAAGTTTTTTTCCGGAAGTGTGTGTGTGTGAAGGTTTGAAATGTGATGTGTGACACACCTCTGCTGGAGTGGGTCCATGCTGGTGAAGGGCATATGCTTGGGTAAATAGCCGTTTTATTATCATGTAATAATTTCTAGCATAATGCAGAGGGATTTCTGCTTGGATTTAACACTGCAAAAATGCTTTATTGTATTGTACATATACAACTAATTTAAATCAATGTCTCCATTATTATCATTAGTATATTAACAATTTGGCTGGCCCGGCGGGCAGCCCGCCGTGTCCTACAAGGTAGGCTTAGCGTTGCCCGTGAGCTCACCACCATACTCTAATGTTTAAACAGTACTCTTTCTGGGGAGAGCCCCATTGGCTCCCTGGAGCTATCCAGGCTGAAGGGATATGTATAACTTTCTGGCATCAGTCAATGTGCACGAAGTTCTTGCCTACCAGGGACCATGAGCCAGAACCTGGCCCCCCTTCAAGAGAGGCACGAGGAGCAACCCCCCATGTGATTGAGAGCATTCTATGTCTGCCATCGACCAGATCTCCATTCTGGTGAAACCTCCATTCTGGTGAAACTATTTCTACCGAAAGCCGAATGAGTGGACAGAGCTCCCCAAACGAAAATTAGCAAATGAACATGACCTCATCATGTCACCGTGCCGCTGTCTGCGCAACCCCCCCCCCCTTCCCGGTAGGGGGAAGGGGGAGCCCCAGACCTCCACACCAGCGATCCACCCTTCAGTTCTCAGGCTGATGTGCTACTGGCGTAGTCTTGTGCCTCTGGCTCCATCGATTTGTCTCAGATTCTGTGCCTTGTAGCGTGGATTGTCTCTACTGGTGGTAGAGACAGATAAATAATATTCTTTGGTACTTGGGCTGCATGCGCCTAGGGCGACCTTCCCTAGGTGCCCTGTAAGTACTACATTAGGACTTGGGGCAACCTTCCACAAGTCACCTCGGGATCTACCCCAGCTGTGTCTTTTATTGCTCGGTACTTGGCCGCCCTTGGAGTCGACTGGGGTCTTTGTTGCCTGTGTTTCCCTCTGGGTAGGGGCTAGTTTTCATCACTGGTAGGAGCACGGGGTACTGCACAGCTAGTTTTCACCTTTTACAGAGACTGGGTCTGTTCCACCTGGGTACGTTGTCCTCTTGCAGGGTTTTGCTTTTGTTTTTGTTTTTCTGCCTGGTGAGGGAGGTCTGCCTGGGTGGTTGCCCCTTCTGTGTTGGGGTGTATATATCTATCATTATATTTATTCTTAGTTTTTGTGTGGTTGGTGGTAACCCTTGTTAGGCTCTCGCGAGTGGACACGTCCCAGGGGTTCAGCTATTAGCAGTTTGTTTGATAGTCTTGGGCGCCGGTTCGCAGTACCCTGCCTGGACTTTCCTTAGCATGTTAATAACGCTAAGGGCCCTGGGAAACCCCACAAGGGCTCCGTGGTCTGATGGATGTGACCCTCGAGTCCCCTCTCACTTCGTGCAAGTCGGAAGGTTGCTCTGTCCCCTTGTATCTGGGGGACAATCATTGGTTGTGCCTCCGCCATGCTGCCTGTTGGGTCGGTGATTCTTTTGACCTGGAGTCGTGCGACATTTGTTGCCTGTACGAGTTCCAGTTCACCCAAGCTACTGATCATGATATGAGAGTGCAGGCAGCAGCTACATTGCATGCTAGGTCTAGGTTGCTGCAATGCACTAGGTTAGTTGCTTCCCCGGATGCCCTGTTTTGGTTGTAGGCACTCGGACTTTGGGGTAGGAGTCGCTTCGGCTTTGGTCCCATTCTCCCTCCCTTGTCCTTTCCCTTCTGTAGTCCGTTGTCCATCCGGTTCCTCCCCCTTTGCTTCCGGCCCCGAAGTGTTCAAGGGTTTCGGAGTCTGGGCAGGGTGGTAGTTGGTGTTGAGAATCGGGCAGTCTCAGGGGAGTCCCCTTCCGGAGTGGCAGGTGAGGCATTCGAGCCGTGTTTGGCAACACGTCATGGGTTGACATTCGGTTTTTGGAGGTTGAACAGGATCCTGGCTGCTCACTACCTTGTCAATGTTCCTGGTCCTCGTAGGGCCTGCGTTTTTTGCACTGGGTCGGCGGTTGCAGCCAGTTGTCTCGGCTTTGCGTTGAGGAGTAAGGACTGACCGCCGCCCTGGTAAGTCCTTGTTTTTCCTTGTCTTCGGGTAGTTAGCTCCGAGGGAGCCAACAAGGCTCCCCCAGAAAACCAGTGTTGAATGTAATGAAATGCCATTTTCTGGGTGAGTCCTGGAGGTCTCCCGGCATTCCTCTCTCCCTCCCTCCGGTCAGTGGCGTTTTTTTTCATATTTTGACATCCAGCCTAAGAACTGAAGGGTGGATCACCGGCGTAGGGGGGTTGTGCAGACAGCGGCGTGGCGACATGATGACGTCATGTTCGTTTGGGGAGTTCTGCTCACTCGTTTGGCTTTCGGTAGCAATAGTTTCACCAGAATAGGGGTTTGTTTTGGGGCGCCTACCTCTCTGGGTGCCAGATCTGGTTGATGGCAGGCATAGAATGCTTCCAACCACAGGGTGGGGGGGGGGTTCTATAGGCCATTGCTCCTTGTGCCTCTCTTGAGGGGGGCCAGGTTCTGGCTTGTGATCCCCGGTAGGCAAGAACTCCGTGCACATTGATTGATGCCAGAAAGTTATACATAGCCATTCAGCCTGGATAGCTCCTGGGAGCCTCCGAGACTCACCCAGAAAATGGCGTTTCATTACATTCAGCACTGGTTTTTTCAGCTTTCTCACCTCAATTTTTGTGCTATGTCGTTCAATTTGGTATCAAATTGTTTGCAATTTGCATATAAGAACAAATGTAAGAACATCATTACCAATACCATCTTATTGAGGTTATCTTGAGATGATTTCGGGGCTTAGTGTCCCCACGGCCCGGTCCTCGACCAGGCCTCCACCCCCAGGAAGCAGCCCGTAGCAGCTGTCTAACTCCCAGGTACCTATTTACTGCTAGGTAACAGTGGCATCAGGGTGAAAGAAACATTTTGCCCATTTGTCTCTGCCTCCACCGGAGTTTGAACCCGGAACCTCAGGACTACGAATCCAAAGCGCTGTCCACCCAACTGTCAGGCACCCTCACCATAAGATAAAAACA